TATGCTTTGGAGTCTGAACTACTATACCTTGTCCTACTGCTTCGAGTATTGAAGTCTTCACATTATACTTCAGATACTTCTGCACCTCAGTCGAACTGTCCTTACACCTATCATAACTTGTTTTGTAACCCCACTCGTTCTTTGTGCTTTAATTCTTCTTCCTAATCATACTTGTAGATGTGGATGTTGTTTAATGAAGTGTGGAACCCACTCTTAGCCAAGAGGGAAGTTGGGAATTTGATCGTGTTGGTTGTGTTAGCTGTGTTGATTGTGATCATGAGTTTCAAAAATGCGGAACCCCGCGAGTCGATTGTCTCAAGTACCCGAAACCCATCCGACTCGGTTCCGACTCGGTTAGCCCACCCAAATGATCACACGTGACCCCGCAGCTACCCAGAGTCTACTCCCTAGAATGAGAGACGAGAAGGCATCCTTACAAAACAAGAGGTTCAACTGCCCTCTATAATTATCCCCTTCGTTTAATCCAAGTTAAAGGACATCAAGGGAGGGAATGTTGCCCTAGAGGTATTTCTTCCCACCGAAGTCAGTACCTATCCCACCCTCTCTAACAAAAGCTGGCTTTTGGTTTTTTAGAACCTAGTCGGGAGTCCATGTTTCCTTGCCTAGAGGTGACTTGCAATCCGTTTTGTGAAGAACCTAGTGGGACTTTTGTTAAACACATAATTAGAGTTTGACGACTTGATTGAGAAACTACAGGGGCGAAGCCCCTATATATACACAGTTGGTATACAGGCTACGCATGTGCAGCGTACTGCCAGGAACGCAGTTCCAACAACTTTTGGCAGTTCGGGCCATAGTACTATGTTTCTGGTTCACAAAATGACCATGGTACTGTACATAAGAGAGAAAGGGTTGTGCATGGATTACTTCCCGCTATAAGATAGCAGTTCTTGCAAGTGTATCTGCCGACTTTCTTACAATCAGTGCTAGCACTGTCCGGATTCCAGTTCATACAGACGAATTCCGGAGTTGCCATTGTGTTGTAATGATACCCCAAAAGTCAGCCGTTGAGTTAAGATTCAAATGACTTTACGCACCCGGCGTATATAAAGCCTTGCTGCCTAATACGATTTCCCCGGATAGTGGCAGCGGGTGTCGGCTCTGCAACAGAGTATAAAAGTGAGGCGGACAAGGCTGGCAAATAAGAAAAGCCTTTGAACTTATTGGCCATTATAGCGGAGGCTAATGCAGCTAATGATATCCATGTAATTTATTTAAGCTTAAGTTACAGTAACAGAGAGGGCGGCACGGATTCCTAGCTTTTAAAGGCCGGATTACCTAAATAGGCCGGCTGTGTAAAAATTTCACGCCTCTTCACAATAATTAGAGTATTTCCGACGTATTTGCTTCATTTTCATTGGTCTATCAAATCTTGGCATATTTAATGCGATGTATTCCAAGTTGATAATCTCCAACGCGGCATGGTATCCCTTAAAATCACTTTGTCCCCCCTTCATTCCCTGGTCTGATATCACTTGGCATCGTCACAACACACTCCCCATCGCCATCAAGCCAGCACGCCCCGGCATTGCGGACTCTCCTCGAACTTGCCAAATATAGAAGTAGGTATACTTCTGACACGATTTCGCCCCAGCAATAGATGCGCCATTTCTCTCCTTCCAATCCCGTCTTATGTCCTCCGTCCTCGCCTCCTTCACCAACGTGCTCGCGATCCCTGACACACCAGACTCCCCACCCTGCCTTCCCTCGACCAATATACTCGCGGAGAAACTCCCACGTCTTCTCTCTTACTCGATCGTCCCACCCCACCTCGCCATCGTGTACATCGATACCCCAATACCCCCTTTCATGTTTCCGTATCTCCCGACTCTGCGACACGGGGCGAAAACGCCCATACCCAATCTCTGCTGCAAGTTTCGCAAGTGGCAGCGTTAGGAACGTTGTGCTTACCTCCTCCGAGCCAGTGGCGGGTAAGTGGTAAATTGTTGATGAGCCTGGTATGCGGGATGCATGGCGCTTTCTCGATGGTCGCTGCGACGGTATGGAGGAACTTGGAGCTAGCACGGGCTTTTCTGAAGCAGGGAGGGCTGGGTTGGTCTGTCGACCTTCCTGATCAAAGGGGACGGGAGGTGTGTCTGAGACATGAGTAAGATCGCTGAGCAGGTGGGTAGATTTGCGTGCCGGGATTGGTAAAGGCAATGAGGGGAAGCTTCGCTTCTTGGGGCTTCGGCGAGGGCTATCTGGCGGCGGGGTTCTGCGGACCTGTAGGTTGTATTGGCCGAGTGATATTTGCCGAGGCAGTGATGGTGAAGAATATACTTCTGGGCGTAATGCAGATGTCAGTGTAGTGGAAGGCGCCTCTTCATTCCGTGTAGGCGCAGGGCTCAGTGGGGAAGTTATCTCTTTGGGATGTTCTTCCGATACATGAGCTCTGCTTCGCAATATTGGGCCAGACTGTCTTCCCCCATTTCCTATGTCAAAACCAAGTGCCTCAGCTGGTGGGGGAGACAAAGGCACTCGTACAGGAGATGGCGAAGAGTAATATGGGCTTTCAAATTGAGACAAGAACGTGTCTCGAATGACTGAAGGGGTTGAGCACGTTGGTATGGAAGGGGGAGATTCCAACTGGCTCGTGGAAGTGCCACCAGTTTCACGACGCGGGCGCGCCTGTTCAACTAGTGAACTGATTATGGGCCTTGATGTTTGTTGTTCCCGTTTTATCCCTTTTCCAAACCCCTTTTGGCCAGCATTACTTGGTCTACCCCGGTCACGTGTGCGGAACCGTGGAGAGTTCATGCCATCAACACTCGTGAAGGAAATATCCAAAAACTGTATAGCGGAAAAAGCGGCGGTAGTTATCTTTGAGCGTGTGAGGTATTCCCTTCTCGGGGCAGAGGAAAGCTGAGACGCTGGCAGGCAGGAGTCTAGGCCATTCGAGAACATGTGACTTTGATCCTCGTTGGATTGAGAGTTGCGTATATCAGCACGAAGCTGCCGGTCTGGGCTCTCATCTCCACCTGACTCATCATTCCCACTCGCTATACCATCATCATCGTGTAAATCGATCCGTCCCTGGGGTTCGAAATTGAGGTAGGCTGCCGCAAGTGACCGATAGAGCGCATCTTCTTGCCCAAGACTTGGCGCCGTCGTATGAACGAGGATTTCAAGACGATGGTTGGCCATGATAACTGCGCCTTATAATCGGCATTATAGCAACTGATGGAGCTCAAGACAGAAATGGAGAAATGGCGACAGCTTGATACTGGTGTTGTAGATATCTCGCTGGAGTTGCCTGTATTGAGTCAGGTGATTTGATTTGACGCTAATACTATTTAAGCAAGGTGCAGCTGTGAATGAACTTCGAGGACGACGAGAGTAGGGGTTGGTTCAGCGTCAGTTATCATTGATTACATGATCTTCTCTACTAACTCTACAAGACATGGTTTTTTAATAATAACCCAGCTAAATAATGATCTTATTCAAAGATCTACCGGAGCTTTGCTTGCCAGCTTGGCAGTCCTCGAGACGTTGTGGGCCCACACGTCTCGAAACCCACAACTTGTGGGTTTCACCAAGCTTCTATCGGCCCTAACCTCGCGTTTTAGAAATCTCAGAACGCTCCAGGGCACAGAAAATCAATATGAACTTGTCAGTCTTCGAAATTAAGGCGTTGTCTAGGCGAAACGCTAATTTCATGCTTGGCGACCCCGGTCCTAGCCTCGAACATTCTGCTAGGAAGCATCAATGCCGACTGGCACAGAGCTAGTATTGCTCTCTAACTCGGGGTTTTCAAACAGTCGGCTTGCTCTCCGGTGGCTACAGCAAGAGTATACAGCTCCGCATAAGAATACAAAGGTGCTATTTCTCGACTATCACGTTAGTCATACAAGTGATGATTTCATCATTACAGCTAAAGAACACAACATTATCATATATACCTTCCCATCACATCTTACACGCGTTTTACAGCCATTAGATGTTAGGATATTCCAGCCTTATAAGCACTAGCACCAAGAAGCTGTGCTTGCTGCTATACGGGATATGGATATTACCTACGACTTGTAATCATTCATGTGGGATCTTACACGTATGCAGTAGCAGGCCTTCAAGGAGTCTACTATAGTATCTGCTTTTCAGAAAGCTGGTATTTGGCCAGTAAGCTGTACTACAGCTCTTGCAAAACTACGTATATACTCGCAGCCTATAATACAGCCTATAGAGCCTACGCCTACTCTACCAATCCGGGTTTCTACCCCTAAACCCACGACTTTTAGGAGGGTAGAAGAAGGGCTACAGCACTGGAAACAGCGGGTTCTAGAAGGCTTTCAAAGCAGAGCTACAGGAATTGGCTTATTGGCACCGAAGAGGTGGTGGTAGCAGGCCAACTCCAGGAGCTCGACCTCGGACTGTACGGCGGCAGGTTGATTAGTCTAAAAAGCAGGCAGGCCGAATCCAGGCCCGCCTTCAATTTGGAGGCGAGCTCTCTGCTAACCAAGCCCACGAGCTTCGGGCTGAGAAAGTCGAGCGTTTGGCCCAGAAGCTCCAGGCCAAAGAAGCCCGGATGGCTATCAACCGGGCCCGCAAACAGCTCCGTAGATCTGGAATTGACGCCCGGAAGCAGGAACGCCTCTGACTAAAGAGGGTGGCATTCTGCACCAATGCCAGCCTCCCAATTCCTCCAGAGTTGGGAGGACCCAATTCCTGACCCAGAAGCCTCCGAAAGTGAGGGCGAGGAGGAGTATGAGACCGCGGGCGAGTGTGCGAGCGAGCGTTGGAGTGAGCATGGGAGCGAGCGTGTGAGTCGAAGTGATAATTTAGCAGATAGGTATATTATGTACCTTTACATACAAATTGCTATGGACAGGTACTTACGCTTATAATCGTGAGGTGCCGCATCTTGCTTCCTCTCATGTGAAGTGCCGCAACTTGCTTACTCCAACCTTGAGCGAAGCGAAAAGTTTAGTCACGACGATTAGCGGTGAACGGACGTCGCGAAACCGCGCACATCGCTTCCGCTCATTTTGAAACCGCGCAGATCGCTTCCTCCAACCTTGAGCGAAGCGAAAATTTGCTCACGACGATTACCAGTTCTAGTCTTAAACTCCAGTGGAGAACTCCGTAGGTGACAGTTTACTATTCTACACCGTTACTCTGCAAGTTCTTCGGATTTTTTGGACTAGGGGCTAATAGGTATGTTAGCATGCTAAAGGCAAGTTATACGTTCTATTACATCAGGCACACAAGAACTTACAATGCAAGTATATGCTTCACAGCAAGGATGGTAGTCATCGCATTATACCGCCAGGGATCGTACTGCATGATCAAATAAGATCGGGCGAGAATAAACTTGGCACCTAGCGGCGCTTGAGAAGAAAAATTACAGAACGTCAATGTAGCGGTCAACGTTCCGACTCGCTCCAGTCGGCATCACCATGTCGGATTCTCTTAGATCGCGTTCTCGCGGCCATCAAGAAAACATGCAGGAAAATGAGAGAATGAGGAGAGGTCAATCCCATTTGCCTCCATTGAATTTCATAACCGTCCACTATGCATATTTTATCGTCACCTGCTTGGTATGCTCTCTCATCTTCTGGGGCGCCTCAAGCCCCGCCCAGAGCATTTCGTATACGGACTCTCTCTTCCTCGTCGTCTCTGCAATGACGGAAGCCGGCCTCAACACCGTGAACCTAAGCACTATGACGAGCTTTCAACAAACCATGCTCTTCCTGTTGATTCTTATCGGCGGAAGCATCTTCGTAAGCATCGGGACGGTGCTGGTGCGCAAGCGTGCCTTTGACAGTCGCTTTAAGCACGTTGTCAAGCTGCAGAAGGAGCGGAGAAGGGGTCACAGGAGGAGCTTCTCAATATCGGCAATGAGGAGTGGTCCTATCCTGCGACGGTTAAGGAGCAGACGGGGACTAGAGGAGGCAGTCGATGATGACTTGCCGAAGTCATGGGCAGATTCAAGCTCACGAAACGCTACGGCAGGAAAGTCAATGTCTGATCCGATGGAAACGGGGCGGAATGGGACTCCAGGTGTCGTAGTGACCGCAGAGAGTGCTGCGGACGAGGACGGGCATAGAGAAGCGACGCACCTGAGCGGGGATCACATTTCATTTATGCCGCATGATTCATCTTCGACGAGAGAGAGCCGCCGGGTGCTATCTTCTGTGGGGCCTGGACCCCATTTGAGTTCCACGTCACTCAGAGGACCTTTTGCGGGCACTAGAGGCCGTCAAGGAAAGGAAGTGAAAATGGAGGAGGAGAAGGAGAAGGAAGAGGACCCACCGGACAGCTGGTTCCCAGGATATCTTACCAGGCACACCACCGGCCGTAACGGGCAGTTCTTCGGTCTCTCAAGGGCCGAGAGGGATCACCTTGGTGGCGTTGAGTATCGTGCTATTCAACTACTAGCATGGATTGTGCCCATATATTTCGTACTATGGCAGCTACTAGGGTGCCTTGGTCTGGCGGCGTATGTTGCTCACAATAAAGCGAGCGTAGCGCAGGAGAACGGCATTAATCCTTGGTGAGTTGAGTTACCTTTTTGGTTGGAAATAGAGCTAATTGGATAGGTGGCTGGGTATTTTCAACGGGGCTTCTGCGTTCAATAATTCGGGAATGTCTTTGCTGGACGAGAACATGGTATGATACAGTCTCTCACTCAACTGAATCCCACTAATCAAATACAGATCCCGTTCCAAACTTCAATATATATGCTTACAACAATGGGCTTGATGATTTTAGCCGGCAACACAGCGTATTTGTCCCCACATCTCCTCTTTTGCTCCTACTAATAAAGTCCAGATATCCACTCTTCCTCCGCCTCATCCTATGGAGCATGCTTAAACTCCTCACAAGAATTTACCCCTCTGAAGATCAATGCGCAGACTATAAAACCACTCTGCGCTTTATCCTCACCTACCCACGCCGTGTCTACACGAACCTATTCCCCAGCTCTCAGACCTGGTGGTTATTATTAATGTTAATCGTCCTGAACGGCATCGACTGGGCGGCATTCGAGCTTCTCAACATCGGCAACAGCACCACTTCAACGATCCCAGAGCGCTTCCGCATCCTAGACGGCCTGTTCCAAGCCCTTGCCGTCCGTTCTGGCGGCTTCTACGTAACTTCGATCGCGAACCTCCGCATCGGACTACAAGTTCTGTACGTGATCATGATGTACATCTCCGCATACCCAGTCGTGATCACCATGCGGCACTCCAACGTGTATGAAGAACGGTCTCTCGGAATTTACGCCCAAGATGAGCCGTATTCTCCAGGAGGTCCACGGATCGGGACACCGGCCTCCCAGCTGCGGCGAGCATTATCAAAAGCCATTACATCCCCCTTCCCAAGCGGGGCCTACAACGCACACGACTTCATGTGGCAGCAGATCCGCGGTCAGCTCGCTCACGACCTTTGGTGGCTCGTAGTAGCCATCCTGCTGATCTCCTGTATCGAAGTAGCGAATTTTGAGAAGGATCCCGTGACGTACTCGGTCTTCAACATTATGTTCGAGGTTGTGTCAGCTTATGGATGCGTGGGGATCTCACCGGGATTACCGAACAAGTCGTATTCTTTCAGTGGCGGCCTTCACACATGCTCGAAGCTGATACTATGTGCGGTTATGCTCAGGGGCCGGCATAGGGGGCTGCCTGTTGCATTGGATCGGGCGGTGAGGTTACCTACGGCAGCCGGCGACGATGACGAGTTGGAGGAGGAGGATTCTGTAGTCAGGAGGACCAGGCATATACATCATGGGGGTGGCGATTAGTAGCGTTTATCCAGCATTCACTGCTTATAATGGGTTGATATATCATAGTGGTCTAACCCGCCATTGTTGAATAGCGATTAAAATAGAATAAGTTTTTATGAGGAATTATTCCTTAGATTCCATTTCTCGGAAATAATCATACACCTCCTGGGCAGACGTGATTTCAGAATCCCAACACTGCCTGATAACGCTCCCGCACTTTATTCCAGACACGTCAGGATATACTTGGGCCTTGTACCTCTCTTCAACCTCATTACTCGACAGTTCCTCGAAAGGGATCTGGCCAGTCATAATGAAGTAGATAGTAGAGCCGAGGCCAAACAAGTCATCAGACACGGTCTGTTGGCGATGAAAATCAAACCCAGGACGGGAATACCTTCTACCAGCACATGCTGATGCCCGTGAACCTTCAAGAGATGAGCCACTAAAGTCCGAAATTTTAAGAGCCAGATTCTGGTCCAGCAGAAAATTCTTGGGCTCTACATCGCAGTGAACGACTTTTGCATCATGCAGAAACTGAAGTCCTTCAGCCGCGTCTTTTGCCCACTGGAGTCGCCGTGCTGTAGAAAGCGCCTCGTTATTCACAGAAAGAAAGTCTTTCAGTGTCCCGTTTGGCATGTATTCCATAGTAAGGACGCAGCTCTCCGGATCAAAATCGAGTGTTCGAATAAGACGAGGATGCTGGCCTAGCTTCTTGTAAATGAGATTCTCAGTCGTGATGTCTTGACGCGCTTTGGCAGCGCGAGAGCCAGGCCAGGGTGATTTAACTACATCACCATTTGGTGCGCAATTCACAATCCCCGATGCACCGCTGCCTATGTAGCCGCGCTTTGATCCAGAGTATTTGATTTCCACGACGGGATTGGTATCTTGAGAAGTTTTGGCGCTCATTGTGAATTATGTTCTTACATACTATATTGTGGCCTTCAAAAGCCAGTTTACTTGGGAATGGGAAAATATCGATTTCTAGCTACGTATGCACAGCCCGTCTCCAGACTTTGGGCCGGACGGCTACCTGTTTATACGCGTTGTAAAAGTCTCATATCTGAGACATACTGGTGCGAGGTTTCTCCGAGGCTTTGGGTAACAGCAGGTTCCGAGAAACGGAACGAGTGCTTTTGGAGGGCGATTAGAAGGGAGTATTTAACTTCTCAGGTAATATTGAGGATTAACACAAGACATGTTTCATCCAGCTTTCACACTTCCTGTCTGACTGCCGGTTATATACCCAAAAGCGAAATCTCGTTCCACAGCATATCAGCTTTAGTGAAGCCACAAATTGCCGTTTCACTAAGAGGTCAAAGTTTTGGTCGATCATTTACCTGTTTGATAGGTCAAGATATCAGCCATCTTATTCGATTGCCCAAAGGGCCCACCTCTCATCCCATAGCTCAATATGGAAAAGCAGGGGTTGATGTGATGGTATCGGGCAACTCGCTCCACTGAGACCTGTCTGGTATAACTGCAAGCCAGTGTTCTCGGCGAAGGCAACTCAACATGGCTAGCTTCCCAATCTGGATTTCGATGGAAAGACAACGCGATAATCAGGTAGGTCACATTGATATATCTTTCTCAGGGGTTTAAGTTATAAACCTATCCCCCAACCCACCCCCCCCGGGGCAAACCGAAGTGAGAAACAACTTCTTGGACTCGACTGTTCAAAAAATAGTTTCAACGTCTGGTGTCCTCACCTTAGCACAGCTCCTCAACCTCAACCCAAACCGAGCCACTCTATCCGCCGCCATGCTGCTCCTGAGCCTTCTCGTCGTACCCGCCCTCTTCCACCTATCCGTAGCCGTGGACTCCCAATGTCCGCTCGATGACATAAAGCGCACTCAGTGCATGGGACCTAAAGACTGCCTGTACCCACACCCTACAAGATGCGACCACTTTATCCGTTGCGAAGTGAACAACGACGGAAAGACGGGCCTACCACATATTAATGATTGCCCGTCTCCTCTCGAGTGGAACAACAATATCAAGGAATGCGATTTCCCGGAGAACTCGACGTGCCGAAAGGGAGATGGCGTGGACACGACGACTGACGACGACGTTAATAGGGCCACCCATATATTACCTCGAGGCAATAGTGCCGAGAATAAGATCCGCGACGAACCCTTCGTGTGCCCGCGCAAAGACTTCATCAGCAACAAATGCAAAGAACAGAACGGGTGCATGTACCCAGATCCTAAGAACTGCAGGAATTACATCCATTGCGATTGGCATGCCGACGGGAAGACGACTACTGTAACTCAAAAGTCATGCCCTAAATCTGCTAATGGTCCTCTCGAGTGGAACGATAAGGAAAAGAGATGCGTCGGGCCGAAGAACTCGACGTGCCGGGCGAAAAGTGGCGTGAACACGATGATTGATGGCGTTCTCAACGAGGCCAGCGGTATTTTACCTCGGGAGGATGCCGCTCCCTTCAAATGCCCGATCAGCGACATCGTGGTTACCCAGTGCCGCGGCGCCAAGGACTGCCTATACCCGAACCCGGGGAGCTGCAACTCCTATATTCAGTGCAGCGTGGGCTCTAACTTGCTGTCAGGCGCACCCACTGGCGCACCGACTGTCAAGAACTGTCTACCTGGCCACGAGTGGAACGATAAGGAAAAGAAATGCGATGTTCCGGAGAAATCCACGTGTCCCATGTATGCGAACGGGGAGAAGAAGATTCAAGACGACCGCCCTTCCAACGGGGCCGGTTGCACGGGGCCTAACTGCCCCACAATAATGCCCATCAATGACATTATCAACGGTCTTGGAGATTCCCTTAAGAAGGCTGGTCTTAAAAGCCACGGCGGCGAGAAGAAGCCTCGCGAAGCCGACTCCAAGGACAAATTCTCATGCACCGGGGCTGGGTGCCCAGGAACGGTCATCGGCGACGTTGCAAACGGCCTCGAAGATGTCCTCAGGCAAGCCAAAGACAACAGCGGCAAGAAGAGCGTCCACACCCGCGCCGCCTTCACCTGTCCCACCCAAGACATCATCAAAACCAAATGCAAGGGCCCAAGAGATTGCAGATACCCAGACCCCGAGAGCTGCAGTCATTTCTATCTATGCTTCGTGAACACTGACGGGAAGACTGGTACCCCGCATAACTACGCGTGCGGACAGGGACTGATGTGGAATGATAACCTCAAGTCGTGCGATTGGCCGACTTCGTCGACGTGCAAGCTATAGTTGGAGTGGAGAGGGTATCGGGCGCTAGACCGAGGTAATAGGAGATAGAGATGAATCTATGTAGAAATGATAATACTTGCTAAAAGAAAGAAACGCCTACCAGCAGCAATTCATTCGCAGATCAGCCTGGTGAGATGGTGACTGATGACAAGATTTATTTAGCTATGTACTCGAAGTCTATGTATGTAAGTTTTGTAAATAGTCGCTCAATCACCCTCCTAACTCCGCCTGGCCTCCACAGCCTGGTGCAGTTTGGCGATCACATCTTTTGGGGACTGAGCACCAAAGACTGCTGAGCCCGCGACGATGACGTTCGCGCCTGCATCGGCAGCTTGGTCGATAGTGCCCAGACCCAGGCCGCCGTCGACCTCGATGTTCAGTTTTGGGTACTTCTTCCGCAGCGCGGTGACCTTGGGGAGTTCGGAGGCCATGAACTTTTGTCCGCCGAAGCCGGGCTCGACGGTCATGACAAGGACCATCTGGAGGTTGTCAGTAAATATGTTCTTCGGGTTGATGGGGAGGGGTATAGTACATCTGGTCTCTCCTCCGCTACTGGGTTTTCCAGGATATCCCACAGCACATCAACAGGGGTATTGGGCTTAATCGCAATGCCAGCTTGCATATCCTGCTCATGGATAAACCTAATAAGCTCCTTCGGGCTCGTCTTCTTATCCGACGTCTCCTCCGGCGACTCGGCAGCCGTAGAATCGATGGCAGCCTCATAATGGAAGCAGTACAAATCGCAGCCCGCCTTCTTAAAGTCCTTGACCCACTTCTTGGGCTACACGTCTCCCATCAGCCCAGCCCAACTCCTCGCTCGCCTCTAAACCGCATGAGCACGAGCGTGCACGGGCCGGACAACTCACCTCAGCAACCATCATGTGGCAGTCGAAGGTGCCCGTGGCATTGGCGGTGGCGGGGCGGTCGACGTGCGAGCGGATCTTGGTGACGACGGGGGCGCCGAAGGTGATGTTGGGCACAAAGTGGCCGTCCATGATGTCGATGTGCAGCCATTGCGCGCCGTACTGCTTGATGGTGCGGGAACACTCTGCGCCTAGGTCGGCAAAGTCGGCGGCGAGGATGGAGGGCGCGATGATGGCGGGGGGGGACATGGTGGAAGGGGCTTTGGGTGAGAGGAGATTGGGATGGCCAGTGGCTTGGGTCACTGGTGAGTGGTGACTGGTGAGAGTCGCGGTGGTTCGCGGTGGTTCGCGGTGGTTCGGCGCGAAATAAGAAGTGGTGGAGGGTGAGCGCGTAGAGAGGTTTTGGGATGTGGAGATGACGCAGCGGCGGCAAGAAAGCGCTTGGAGGGGTAGCTTTTGGGGGGGGTATGGAGGGTTAGTGGCCTAGTATATCAGGCAGACATGTCAGTTTCTCTGGTACCTGACCTTAGTATAGGAACGTCATATGAACTGAAGTACCATCCCATCCATAATCTATCTGTTGGCGACAAACAACAATCACTCTTTCTCCCTCAAAACCTCCAACTCCAAACATACTTTACCTTCAGTACACATACACCGACAGAATCTACACGTATCTGCTCCTCCCTTCCTTCCTGTCTTCCTTCCTGTCTTCCTTCCTGTATCTATTGTTGGAAAACTGCATAGAGCGATCCTACTCTCTGCATCTCAGGACCTAGACCTTTCATACTGTATATCAATACAATGCCAGTATCTCGCATGCTCCCTTCCTCCCGCGCATACTCCCGTGCATACAGCAAACTTACTCTCCCATCTCACAGTGACTATGGCCAGCTCAAAGGTCAGTTCAACGTCGGTCATGGTCGTTTAAGTCGTCGATCAGAGGCCGGTCACACAGATGGTCTATTTTTTGGCGCCCGCTGGGCGGTTCCATACCCGTCGGTCCCCCATGATTCGTCCAAACATATGCACGCAAGCGCCAAATGAGGACCATTCCGGAGCAAAGTCGACGCCTCTCCATGCTATTGATTCTATTATTACTTTAGCCCTACTGTCGATGCCTGTCATGCCTGCGAATTCCCCCTGTTCTTCCGTCTCCATTGGATGCCACCGATCAGCATGACCTCGCACTACTTGTTCCGTTCAAACCGATCGCTGGCTTCATTTGCTCGTTTCGACGCTCCTCGGCCGCCAGCTTGTCCATACCACGCACATATCGAGGCGCAAGTGCCGTTTTGGTCTCGCAGATGGCCTCCATCGGGTCGCTACCGCTGATGGGATGTGTGCGCATTACCGCCCCGCTCAATTACGCTCAGCGCTACGGTAAGTCGTCGAAGAAACAATTGTGGTATAAACGTTCCTTTGGCCCCATTACGAAGTTACCCATCTATTCATCCATTCTCATCTTCGTCGTCGGTGTTTTTTTTTGTGTGTCAGTTTATTTGTTTTGTTTGTGTGAAGTCTTCGTTGATCGAAGCATCCTATCGCTTGTAATATTTATTCCCGACGCTGCGCGTCAACAATTTTCAGTATCAGTTGGATAGACAAACCAAAACACATACAGTTGTCGCCTTTTCAGGTTCTCTTACGTCAAAATGGCTTCGCTAGATTTCTTACCAGCTGCTACATACGAAGCTCAGTCGTCCGTGCAGGCTCCACGGCGACGACGCTCACTTAATACTATAATGGAAGACGATGAAGAATCAATGAGAGGAGGAGACGATAGAGAAGATGATCGCGGACGGCGTGGATCGCCGTCCCCGAAAGCTCCAAACTGGTCAGACTGGCGCTCTCCATTGAGCGACCATTTCCCAACACCCAGAGGAAACCACTTCATGATCGCTCCACTCATGCCTGCTTCGCCATCCTCACCCGCCGACAGCGAGTATTCGCAAACCTCGTCCAGGCCCTGGACCAGAGATAGCGTTGGCACTCAAGCCACGGATTTCGACGATTTGTACGACGTCTCATCCGACGAGGAAGACTCGTACAAGGCCCGCCAGGCTCGCTCTTCAATAGTTCGGGAAACAAGCTCTCGCAAGTCGACAGCTTCGCCCCGGCAACGCAACTCGCTACCATCTCTCATCATTCCCCAGTCGAATGAACAATGGAAGGCCATGGCTGCATTCAAGAAACTCGCCTCGCCAGTTCCCCCAACCCCACCACCAAAGGTGCCAATGTCGCCCGCTGTTTTCCAGTACCTCGCAGAACAGTCCGCGCTCGCAGTACCGTCATCCTCAGCCCCACCGTCGCTCGATGGAAGCTTGACTTCCGAGCAGATGGCTCTCATGTCGGCTCCTCCTACTCCAAACACTGGAAACGAGGAGAACGACGATGTCGATCAATGGGGAGGAGTTCAGCTACAGCCTGCGGCTATGGCAACCCTCCAAGCCCTTTCTGGGGATGACATGTACGACATTCCCGAACAGGTGATTGAGCTTCCAATCCGATCACCAACAACGGAGATGCAGCAAAGCCCGCCACCAATCAATACCAGCATCCACAGAAACAACTCTGTTGTTCTGTCACCCGAGCAGCAACAGTCAATGAGCAGCTTGACAGCAATTGAGATTCCGTCTCCAGGAGGATTCTTCGCCAGCTTGTCGAATGCTTCTAGGCACACATGGCACATCATGCCTTCCAGTCTTAACAACGATGCTCCACCGTCCTCGGCGACAGCAGAGCACTTTTACAAGACGCCATGGATGTCCGAGCCCATTGAGCGCATCGTTGAGGTGACCGAGTCCATGTCTGACGGATGCCCAACTGCTCGCCCAATCCTCCTGAAGACTGATTTGGAGGAAACAATCAAGGGCCTAGACTCTCCTATTGAGGAGATCATCGCCACGGAAATCATTTCAGATTACGACATTACCTACGTCCGCAAGCTAAACGAGGATTCATTGGAGCACTTTGATCGCACCCAGCTGTGGCTTACTGCTCAAACCTCCTACCTCTCTGCTCTGATCAACCCAACTGAGGCGCGTGACGACGAGGTAGCCATTCAGAGGCGCGATTCCCAGATCGTAAGAGGCGGCAAAGCCACCGTCGACTCCGATAGCGAGACTACACCGAAGAAGAAGACCGTTCGCTTCTCGGAAGTCCCAACGTCAATACTCGGTGTCAGCATCGTGGTCGGCCGCCCTCCTCCTCAACTCACCCGCCTGGAGTCCGCCTACTTCCGCTCTTTCCGCACCTTTGTTGCCGTATCGCGCTACCGCGATACCTTTGTGCACCGCACACCCCGCTTTGAGGCTCTGCAAATCCAGCGCACAAACTTCCCCCAGGCATACCGCAATCAGCTGCTCGGCAAGTTTCAACTCAGCGTTGTGCCAATGAGCGCAAAGAAGCGCATGTCCTCCAATGTCGCACGCGGTGATGAGACAGCACCCGAGGACCCAGCCAAGCTCAAGGCTGATAAGGAGAGAGAGGCGAAGGAGCAGATGAGCGCTTCGACGTGGAACGTTACGGCAATGAAGATGCTCAATGGAGGCCGCCTGATCGCCGCACCCGTAGCCAAGAAGCTCGCTCGCCTGTCACGCATGGGACCTTCCGCCAACGGAACCCCACGCGATCGCGCTCGCATCCTCGATCTCGGCGGACAAGCCACCTGCGACTGGGCATGGCACTGCGCGACCGAGTACCCCAACACCAAGGTATACACCGTCAGCACCAAGACCTCGCGCCAGCTATCCAACTCCAACATCCACGGCCCGGCCAACCAGCGCCAGGTAGCCGTCAACAAGCTGACCAGCCTCCCCTTCAAGGACGACCAATTCGACCTCATCTCCGCCCGCAACCTCGCGCACATCCTCAAGGCGTGCTCCGAGAACGGCGAGGACGAGTATGATGCTTGCCTCGCGGAGTGTATGCGCATCCTCAAGCCGGGGGGGTACCTCGAGTTCAACATGCTCGATTCGGATATCATGAATGCTGGTCCCCTGGGGCAGGCTAAGTCCGTTGAATTTGGCTTCTCCCTCAAGACCCGTGGTTATGATGCTACGCCTACCAAGGCATGGCTCGGGCGTCTGTCGCGCGCTGGCTTTGTTGGTGTGAAGCGCGCGTGGATGGTCCTACCGATGGGGACGCCGACGGCGGTGGCGCGACCAGTGAGCAGGGATAGTATGGGAGTTGAGCGGCCGCTGGAGCTGGAGGCGATGGTGATGGGGAGCACGGCGGGCGCGGCGAGTATTACGGGGCTTGTGGGCGGGTGGGCGTGGGAGAAGTGGATGCTGAAGCTGCAGATGGAGATTGGTGTCGCGGAGGAGAATTTGCTGGAGGGCGTTGGGGAGATTGTGGAGGAGGGACGGAAGGCGGGGGCGGGGTGGAGGGGGTTAAGTGGGTGGGCGAGGAAGCCGAGAAGGGGGTAGATTATGGGGGTGTGGAGGGGGGTGGATGAAGGATGAGGATGAGGATGAGGATGAGATACGTGGGATGAGATGTGGTGGTGGGTGCATGGGATGGCGCGGTGGTGGTTTTTGCTTGGCTTGATACCAGATAGTTAGTTGCGCTTTAGTGCTTTTAGGATCCGGACAATATACCCCTCTTGCCAAGCAGATTTGTTCTAAGTTAAATGATTGTGAGGTTGTAACAGTTCTTGCAACAAGCGAGCCTTTACTACAACAAAACTTTTATGCCGACTTTCCTCTGCTACTTTCCAACCTTTGAACTTTTTTCAACTTTCATATTCCTTTCAACCTTCTTGTTTTATCTTTGAACAACACTCCTACTACAAACTTTCCAACTTTCCAACCTCGAAACCTACTTTCCTCCTTACTGTCCGCTTCTACCCTTCCGTTCGTTCTATCTTTGAACAATTACCATCGCCGCCTTTAACTTAGCAATACGAAGCTACAAATTTCGCCAAAACTACATGAATTCAAGTCTCAGTCACGTCGATACCTGAATTTACCTACAACCTCACTCTTCAGAGCTATATATGCCTATTTAAGCCAAGGAGGGCTAGAATCCCCTTATTTTCTTGCTTATTTATACGCTTAAATACTGACAAATCTATAGTATTACTCATTACGACCTCATATTGCTTCTATCGATGTGAATTTACCCTGATGATCAACCTCCGAGTTATCGCAAATTGAAATCGTTAGTTTTGGTAAGTCTGGAACATGTGTAGAGATTGAAACTGAACTAACCTTTTTAAAGGCGTCATAACTATGCCTCCAAGCAAGAAACCGTGCATAGCAACAGCTGTCGCAGACAGCCTTGAACCCCCTGATGGCAATGCAATTACGAGTCTAGCATCTGAGCCACAAAGGGCGCAAGAATCCTTAGTAAGGAAGGATATCCCTACACATGTTTAGAGGGGTCTAACACTTCCGTGTTAGATTGCTACCAAACCTATAAACCAATCTTCGAACACCCTATCGAATGCTCCTCCTTTTTAGGCCGCAAAGGCAAGCTTCAAGATCAAATATCTCTATGCAAGCAAGAAGGGCCTCTCTAAGGCCACTCCCGCCACATTTGGCTATGATAATGTCGCATATCTCCGGCGCATTGCCCGTTCAGCTCCTGTCATTCGAGCAGTTACCCTCTTCGAAACTATAAACAAGGGCCAGCAGGTTAACGCATTTTTTGCGACTCTGGTTGTCTCCCTACAGCAGCCCGACCCCACGGAAACCTTTTGCGAGAGCGTCGAAGTGCTGCTCGAGCAGTATAGACAACTCCGGTCTGAGGCTGGGGAGCTCAACAACTCTGGAGCTGCGTCGAGTCTGGCGAAAGGGACCGCCACCCACATTCAGCTCTTGACAGTAACTGCCGGAATTATATGGCACCTATCTAATGAGCTGAGCGAAGTGTCTGAGATTCAAACGACAGATCCTAATGCTGACTTCGACCTCGTCGACACATGCGTAAAACAATGCCTTCTTTCAACCTTGTTCCAAACGATGGAATTTCAGTCCGACCTCCCGTTCTTGGGCCACTACTTGAATATGGAGAGGTTGAGCTAGAGAAGTTCAATAGAACCTATACGATTATTAAATGGACACAGTACCAGCTAGCGAAATCGAAATTCCCAAAGAGCTACCTAAACCCAAAGAACAATAAGAAAAACCCGTCGCTCGACCAGTTAACGTCCCTAGCAGACAGATAAGCCAGCCTGGATGAGGGGTAGCGATCGTGATACTGGCTAAGATGGCACAATCCCATCATTTCAAGCCTCTGAGGGGGAAAGGTGCATTCGATATCTTTCGAGCTTGTACGGGTGCAAGACGACACTGAAATAAATGATATCCTACAGCAATACACCCAGTAGAACATCTTCGGGAAAGGGAAGAAGTTGCAGAAGTCCCGGACAGCCTGTGCCTCGGATATCAAAAGCATCTTATTAGGAGAGCAGTATCGTGATCTCATCAGGCGACAGCTCAATCTAATGGCGTTGGGTTTGAATTTAGCTACCTTACATATGAAAAGGAAGGAGGGAATACGATTCCTACACATGTTTGGGAGGATGCGTATGTATTTACGACCCTACTAATCCCAAAACCGAATTGTCCTAGCCAGACATTCAAAAGATTGTGGCAGCTAGTGAGGAGACGGCCTTTACCATCTTCTATACATTGCAAGTCGAAGACACAGACGACGACGATTACCCATGGAAGTACGATGGCCCACCTATGGAAATAGAAGGACTTCTAGATGAGCTGCAGAGCATCAATCTAGTAGCCGAAAATCGTCATGTCAGCCCTGTCGCTGAGAATATTAAGGCCGCTACTGCGATCATTGACGCTGGTACGATATTAAGGCTGGCGAGAAGAGTGCCGGATCCCTTCTGAATATGGCAATGGTTTCAACGCTAGCTAAACAGCCAACAAAGGTATCGTTTCTTGAAGAGATGCTTACTAGGATTAACAAACATGGCATGGCTGGGATGCCGTCTCCTATGCGACTCTTTGGCTCTGCCTCATCTCCTGAGTGTATCGAATACCACTTAGGCCATAATGTAGGAACTACCTCTGGCCTACATGCATATCAAATGATGGTCATCAGTTGACTGGCGCTCCCAACTGGGACTGGCGATCTCCATCGGCCAGGAAAGAGATTGCCAGAGACTTTCAAAAAGGCAGTCATTGAAGGAGGGGCTGCAGGCAACAATTCAGGTATTCAGGCAGACGTAAGTATTACCCTACACATGTTTAGAGGTCGCTGAAATCTATCTAACATAACTATAGGCCGAAGAAATCAAGACTCCAAAGGATATGGAGACATATTGCAAGATCCAGAAACTTTTCTCTGGTGGCGACCACTTAACTGGCCCCCCCTTAGACATCTGTCTTGATGTTCTAAACGCCTCGAGGTTTCAACCACACGATAAGTCGAAATCGATATGGAAGTACAATATCGGAGCCCTTCCAGATACCTGCGTTAAGGCCCTACGAAATCAAATTAGTGCTGTGTACTGGATGATTAGCAAGACGTTTGGATTATTACCAACCCAAGATCCATCTAGCAAACCTGATCCTACCCGAGAGGCGATTTCACAGAGAGCAGCAGCCTACTTTGTTACTGCACCTACATACGGCGGCTTCGTTGTCGACACGATGGGGTTTACCCTCTTATTATACCGAAGCTACTTGATACGGTATGGGGGTCCTGCATATGCTACTCAGCAGGGCCATCCTGTCGTGGAGCAATGGTGATTAGCCATTACAGAGCTATTCCCAAATTTCCGGCTGATAGTTGCTTATGGTGACACTCCTGTTGACCCGAAGCAACGCGTATCACATTTATCAAGCGCGGCAATGAAGTCCTACCCAGACAATCTAAAGTCTGGCAAGTTGCTCAAGCGGTTAAGATATATCTTCGATACCACTAATCCTGCGGTATTTGAGACTGTGCTCTTTTCGTCATATGAGACACTCGTGACTTTGGTTACCGAGACACCAACAGTCGAGTCCGTTATGGACGCAGAAGCCACAGGTGACTTAACCGTGCTATCTAGCTGGCCTAAAGTTTTTCATACTATTCTGCTCGATGAGGGGCATAAAGTAAGGAATATCGTTACCCGAGTTCATAAGGCTGTAGCTCTTCTAAGGCGGACGTCAATTGGTTTGCACCAGCCACGCCAGCACTCAACAGGTGTAACTCCTACACATGTGTAAGAGTCTAGCTAATCTTCAATATAGGATGTGTGCGGTCCTTTGTCTATATCCACTTGAAGCTCAGGAAGTCGAGTATTGGCACCGACAGCAAGCGTAGTAAGTATCCCTCTATATATCGTTTAATATCTAACTAATTATGATAGCAATTATGAGGAAGCAATGGCGGATTGGGCTGGGCCTGGCCCAGGTGTTGATACAGCAGATGGAACTCTAGTGGATGCGGCAATTTCAAGAAGCTTTCCTAAAATTGCAGGGCCTCTTCGGTCGATGACTATCAACTCGCTGTCTCCGCTACTCAGCCGGCTCCAGAACCTATTACTCCATACCTCAGTTAGGAACCAGACAATGAGCTGACACTGTCGACCATATTCAAACGATGCGCGGGAAGGGATTTAATGCCTGGCAGTTCGCCTTTGCGACGAAAGATGATAACCGCCCCCTTCATACAGGCTTCGATCTACTTGCGTTCCTGACGTGAGGAAGTCCCAAAATGTAACTCATCCTTCGAGAGATTCGCAATTTATGGGGGTTAGTTGGTGGTGGGTTTGGGGGGAGGGGGAGGGGAGGGGAGGGGGTACCTTTCACGGGGGGCGTGTTGGGACTTAGATGCTGTGTCCAGAAGTCATTGATGAGATTCTGGGACGTCCATGGTGGCGGCATGATTGCTCGCGTTTGAGTTTCTTCTCGCAGCCTTATTCGTGAAGCCGTAACGTATGAACAGCACTCGCTCAGTGGTCACCGTGTGTCAAGTAACCCTCAAGCAGTCGCAGTATCGCAATCCAAAGCAACAAAGCTCAAACCGACACAAAAATCGTAAAAACCTGGCAAACAGCAGTAAATATATCAACCCTCCAGGCAAAAAAAGGCAACAACAACCCAGTCCACGCACAACAACCTTTCAACACACCAGCCATCCATTCAGCCCCCCATCCCGCTAACCAGCCTCATGTCGGGACCAATATTGCAACCCCCCAATTCCTAACGCCCACCTCCCACTGGCCGCCTCATCCCCAGCCTGTGGAGCGTGAAGGCTGTGGATGGGGAGATGCTGCGCTGTGGATGGACTGTCAGCACGACGGCGTCAGGCGTCAGATGCGGTTTAGGGTCTAGCACGGCGGCTCGGGCTTGGGTCCAGCGAGGCTATGCTACGACGGATATCTTGGAGGGCAAGACATCAGAACCTAATCGGCTCTAACTTACTGCTAATACAAATCCCATCCATCTTCAATTAGTGTATCAAGCTGAGGCACAAAGCACCACCCTGCCTCGTTAACAAACTGGAAAAATCCAGCGACGCCGCCAGTCTGCTCATGGATAATTGGCGCTCCACAAATCCCATCTCTCAGTTCTGGGGCCCCGCCTGTAGGTGCTAGCCCAAAGTATACACTTGCTGGCGGAAGTGCTGAAACGTCGACTATTACATCATTCGACGACTTCCCTGCTACAAATCTATCCCCCGAATACTTCATTGCAATTTTGCCCGTTGTCATCCCGTCACATACGAACCATTCGTGCGTCGAGACTTCGCGGCCTCTGAGCAATCGTGTTGGTTCTGGGCACTCGAAAACCCGCGAGTTGCTGAAGCTAATGGATGGATGAAGCTGCGCGAGCGCCCAGTCGTGATCTGGAAACCTCTCGTGTATACTGGCTATTGGATCGCCGCCGTCGCCGTCAGGGTGGTAGATACTCGTGCAATCTTCAAACCCGTGATCTGCCACGGTGATTCTAACTCGTGCTCCATTTCTAATTCGTACTCCTGCAGACGATGCCCTGGTGCGGCCTTCTACTCGTATCCCCGGGCCGATGACTCCATCCCCAGTTCTCAGGTAATCGGTTTCATCGCCACGGAGGCTCGTTGCCGCCATCTGACGTTGTGGTGCCAGCGGGATTGTCGATTTCCAGAAAGGGTCCCCCTGATGATAATTAAGTGCCCATCCGCCCATCTTATTCGGTAGGGACTCAGTGGCGTAGGTGCGGTTGTTTGTGGCCAACTCCACAGTAAGGTTTGGCCATATAAAGTTCAGTGCATGCACGCTGCAGACGCCATTCAAGATCCTCCAGATATCCGCCAAGTTCTGCGGAGAAGGTGATGTCCATGGAGTCGCCTGGTACGTTTTAATCAAAGGGTCACCTGAAGTCCTATCGAGAAGGTAGTTTGAGTTCGCCCTTGGTATAAATGAGCAGAACTCTCGTTCAATCGTTGTGGGCGAGGTGAACACCACCGGCGCACACCCGAGAGTCAGCGAGGTCTGCCCGTTATGCTCGGGGAGTGATGGTGTCCTTGTTGTTACAGCAAGGAACGGAGGGAGAAAGTCCACACAAGTGACACTGTACTTGTCAAAAACCAGCGGGCGTTCTCTCTGGTGAGCCTAACGTAGTCGTGGGCATCGCCATCCCATAGCGAAAAGGACGCAATATCTAGTATGTGCCGAGAGCCTCGACTTTTCTCTTCTGCCCAGTTTTTCTTTACCTTCTTCGTCTGTGGTATAGAGGACGTAGGATCCCGCGGAGTAGGGTGCGAATGCGTGTCTGTATAAAAGGTGCCATCGAACCAGTTGCTGTATGGCGTTTGCTTGCGAAGGTATCTGACCTCACTGTCTTTTCTCACGTGTATTTCAGCCATGTCAAAGGTGTCGTGTGCAAATAGTAGCTACAATAGTGTAGGTTGGGGTTTAGAATCATAAAGTCATAAATTCATAGTCATAAAGTTATAAAGTTACCACTAGATATTAGTTCCTTCCTCTAAAAACGTGTCGGATCATACTCCCCTTATCGTCCTTATCAGCCCACCTTATCGGCGATCCTAGATGACGGCCCTTACCCCACCACGAGCTTCTCCAAAACATAAACCCCCGCACCAGAACCCTATATCTCCCTCTCCTTCCTCCACCACTCCTCCAAAAACAACATCGTAACTTCCCCCAGAAACCAACTCCCCTCCAACTCAACCACCAAAAACCACCACAATGTCCACCACCGCCATCCCCCTCCACCCCCCCACCGCCCTCCCCGCCTCCGCTGCATCCCACTCCCTCGCCCCCTCCGCCCTCTCCTCCCTCTCCTTCCTCGCCTCCTCCGCCCGCTCCGCCGCCTACGCACCTTACTCCCGCTTCCGTGTCGGCGCCGCCGTGCTGCTGTCAGACGGCACAGAGGTCTCCGGCGCGAACATCGAGAACGCGTCGTACCCCGTCGGCACCTGCGCCGAGCGCGTCGCGCTGGGTTCCGCGATCATGGGTTTGCTTGATCATGGGCAGAATAAGAGGGCGAAGGTGGAGGTGGGGGAGGTGGAGAGGGAGGAGAGGGCTGGGGTCGCGGAGTTTAGGGGGGGGTGGAAGAAGGGGACGTTTAGGGCGTTGGCGGTTACGAGTGATGCGGTGGGGGTGATTAGTCCGTGTGGGATGTGTAGGCAGTTGTGAGTTTTTTTCCTCTTCTGTTGATGCGGAGAGGAGCGGGGCGTGCTGATTGAAGGCAGTATCAAGGAGTTCTGCGAGCCGTTGATGCCGGTGTATATGTTTGACAAGGAGGGGAATTTCCACGTCCTCACTGTGGAGCAGGTGAGTTTACACTTTTTGGGGGGCGGTTGAAATGCTGATGGGGTCTCTTACTACACGGGCTATCTGCTTGCCGACGGTTGATGCAGGGTCGGTGGCGCTGACTCGTGGGCAGCTGATTCCACTGGCGCAGTATGTTGAAGTGCTGATGCGGTGATAGTTACTCCCGCTGTCGTTTACGATGGATTCGATGCCAGATCTGGTTGCGACGGCTGAGGCGAGGGGGAAGGCGTCGTAAGTTCCGTAAGGAAAGGGGAATGGAGTTATAATATTCGGTGGGCGAGAGGGGAAAAGGGGGTGAGTATTTTTGGCTGGTATTGGACTGTATTTATCGAAAACCAAGTTGGGCGCCTAAAATTGATACAGTTTGACTTTTCAATACATTCTTGTTTATCTCTCAGCACTTCTGAGTTCTACTATACTACACCCCCAATAAAACAACCGCTAGAAAGCACCACACCAAACGCCACCAGCCTCTCTTCCCCCTATAGCCCCTCGCCATCATTCCTGCCCCAAATCTTCACCGTCCGATCATACCCCCCACTAACAATCCACCTCGCATCCTTGCTAACATCCACACTATTCACATTCCCCGTGTGCCCGCTCAGACTACACACCATCCCCCAATCATCCGCCGAGAACACATTAATCCTCTTATCAAACCCCGCGCTAGCAAAGAACGTCCCCCCCTTCTTCGGCTCCTCCCCCGTCTCACCACTCCTCGCCATCCCATCCCCCTTATACCACCGCAAATCCGAGACCACGGATTTATGCGCGCCCACGCCGCCCACGCAAGCAACCTTCCTAATATCCCAGCACTTCACCCATCCATCCCCCGAGCCACTGAGCACTCGATGTCCATCCACCCCCCAGTCCAGTGCGTAGACAGGTTTAATATGTCCATCCAAAATCATCACCGTGCGACCCGTCCTCAAATCCCAGATGCGGCCCATACTGTCCGTCCCCCCGCTAGCAAGGAGCGAGCCATCCGTATTAAACGCCACCGCGAACACACCCCTCGAGTGTCCCTCCTGCAACAGCAGTTCGTCCCTCGTCTCAATATCCCAAAGGCGCCACGTTGTGTCTTCCGACGCAGATGCCAAGTACCGGCCCGAAGGATGGAACTCCACGCGACACACACGCTGATGATGCCCCTCCAGCGTCGCCAACGGCGTCTCCCCCTCCCGGCCCCAAAGATGCACATTCCCCTCCCCCCCCCCCGACGCCAACTCCACCCCCCCCCCCAAAGGCGCCCACGCAATCCCCCCCACCCGATCCGTATGCCCCCTCAACGTCCTCGTCGCCTCCAGCGTCGGCAGCTCAAGGATCTTAATACTCCCCCCCCACCCCCCCGCCGCCACCGCCCCCCCATCCGGCGCAAACCTCACGATCCCCACCGGTCGCTCCCCCGCAATCTGACTCCCCTGTAACTCAAACGGCGCCAGCTTTGCGCGCACAGACTTGCGAAACGTAACATGAGTGCGTAGTGGGATTTTCGCTTCAAGCTTCTGAGCTTCCACCCTCGCCTTCGCGCGCGGCAGACTAAACCTCGCTATCTCCCTCCTCGCATCAAGCAACCCATCACTCCCAGCTGTGTAAAACTCCTCCTCCACATCTGCATCCGCCTCCGCCTCTCCCATAGCCGTATCCTCATCCTCCGCCTCCACCTCTTCGCGCTCAGCCAGGAGTTCGCGCAGGCGGTCGCGCCGGTCGCCGGGGCCTTCGCCATAGAGTGTTATGGGCTCGGAGATGGCGCGCAGGGCAGCGCGGACGGCGGTGTCGGAGGTGGGGACGATGGTGGCGGCGGCGCGTTTTTTGCGGTCCAGTTGGCTGAGGAAGGCGGTTGCTTGGGTGGAGGCGTGGGTGGTGGGGATGGAGTCGAGGTCGATTAGGTCGGCGCGGGAGGCGTGGACGGACATTTTGGGTGGTTGTGCCCGGTGTGGGTTGTGTGTTGTGGTGTTTGGGTTGCGGATTGGGAGGTTGGAGGTTTTGGTGGTCGCAAGGTTGGAGCTGTCGTCGGTGGTGAAAATCGTTATCTTATCGGTTCCTGAAGCCTGCTCCCCGAGACTAAGCGTTTACAGACAACACCATATAAGTTAGTGATAATAATTATAACAACAACGGTCGACTACGCTTCTAGGGAATTCACGTTATTATAGAACATTCGAACATGTTATTAATATTAGCCATTCCCTATTTAGCTTCCATACCTAAGAAGAAGCTTGCAACTCATCCAACACCCATTTCACCCCCCCCACAACTAGGCTGCGCACTGGGTACTCATGAGTCGAGTAGTAGAATTTCTACTCACCCAGCTGAGTTACTCACTCATATCCCGAGTATTGTTGAATGAGGATTACTCACTTGCCGGGTACCTAGTATAGGTCTTGGCAACCCAGTTATATCACGTGTTTGATTAGTCATTGAAAAGGGGGTGTGATCGTGACTTCACATTGATATCGATATCGTAAAACGCCATAACTCAATAACTCCATTCCCATGTCGTTGATATCCTATTCCACACTATAACCTTTGCCAGAACTTATCTAACCTTCATTCCTGGGTGAGAGACATTTCCATCGATTAAGCCTACAGCTCCATGATTAAACATCATATCCCGCAAACGCCGAACCAATACCATATCCTTTGCCTGAATTGTCACTCTCTTCGCATGAATAGCAAGGAGATTTGTCACTATAACTGTTAGTATGTCCCTGTCACTATGTTCAAGTATCATACTCTCAAATTCTCGAATGAGGAAGCATTCGGCAGCTTCCTGGAGAGCTAGGATAGCAGATTGCTGGAAGCGAAGATTGGACTTGAAGTCTTGTGCGATTTCCCTAACAAGACGCTGGAATGAGAGCTTTGGAATAATCAGGCGAGTATCAAGTTGCTGTCTTCTGATATCGCGGAGAGCCTTGGTGCCTATATGTTTATTAGAGAGTTCTGGTAATCCTCTGGTAATCCTCTTACCAGACTTTGCACGGCGCATGGCCTTCTGAGCATGATTGTTGCAAGCTTGAGATGAGCGAACTGGAGCTTTTCTTGCTGTGCGCACAGCCTTTTCCTTTCCCTTTCCCTTTCCACCAAGCCTAGAGCCAGCCTGTAATCCAAGTGGCATCCTTGGTGCTGTGCCGCCAGTTGATCTCCTAGCAGTTTGCTTAATACGAGCCATTTGCTAACATTAAGATGAGTTAGTGAAGTATACACAAGACAAAGAAGTAGATCAAAAGATATATGTACTTACAGTGAGTTTGTAGCAAGGATGTTGTAGAAAGAGTAAAGAAAGAGGTAGAGGTTGAAAGGTATGTGTTTTATTTGAAGGTACGCGTTGTAGTGTTGTTTAGAACAGTAATTATTTGCAGGTGAATATTCCTTGACGAATATAATTGTTTGCAACTTTAAAAAAACAACAACCTTACAACCAACCACCTTCCTTGGTTACGTTCCGATCTACACATTCTTCTTCTCTTTTGCGCTTTACCTCTTCACTAGGACCTCAAGTAAGTTTATTATCTTGATTCTACAGTCAGAACTTCTGATGATCTTCTGCTAATCACGTGTTTAGCATGGCGAAACGCAAGGCACCTGAAGAACTCTCCACTAATTTGAATACTATCAAAGCTCGCAACCGCGTCTCCAACCTTACTGAAGATGAGAAGGCTGTTCATTTAGCACTCAAGGCTGACCATGGCGATCTGAGCTACTACTTAAAGAAGTTATACAAGTCTGCAAAGTATATCGCTGCCTCTGCTGAAGACAAGACACGTCTACAGAATGAATTGAAGGTTGAGCGTATTCGTGTTCGGTAAGTTCCTTCTGGTAATCTCTGGTAGCCTTAATCTAACTATAAACAGGACTGAAAAGGGCACCCATGCATCTTGCATTGCGAATCAGAAAGTCAAGAATACTAGCGCCCCTTCTTCTTCTCCACAAGCCCCACCATCTACTCCGCCACAACTTCTGTCTGAGCTTGCTGCATTTGAGGGTATCACCAGTATCCCAATCGATGACGATCATAACAGCGAATGGGAGGATACTGAGGTTGAAGACGATTTAGAGTTGGAGCTTATGTTACGGCGCGACGATATTTTAAATGACGAGGCTGTTCTACCAGATGAGCTTTCTGATGAAGAGATCGCTAGCATCCAGGCTCTCTTAACTCAAGCACGCATTGATGTTGGTACCTCATAGTCTGGTAATCTTCTGGTAATCTTCTGGTAATACTAACGGTTGATAGGCCCATGAAGAGTCCAATTTCCGCAAGTGGCAACATTTCTGGGATAGCTGTATCCGCTCATATACGAGAAAGGCTGGAAAGCTGAGAAAGAAGCCTGAGCATCTCTTTGAATATATGCCATGGATTGATGTAGAAGAAGGGTACGTCTCTGATCATTCTAGCAATCTTCTAGAGATACTAATTGTTTATTATAGCACTTTTCACAACGTTATCCCACCACATAAATATTTCTGTTTGTACGAGCAGGCAGTTTGGACAAACTTTACAGCTTGGAAGTTTGGAAAGTGGGCCCAATTACCAGGACCTGCGCAGTGGTACCCAAAGTCTTACAATCTTGTCGACAACGGATGGTTACAAGTCTCCACTCATAGTTCTAGCTTCAAAGAGGCGTTCTTACTTGTCTACTCTAAGAAATTTGATAAGGAAAAGTGGGCTAAGGTATCAGCTGCACAGGATATGTTGTTTCTGGAGTTAGAGTAGAGGAGAGAAATGGAGTATTTGATTTTCCGACGCGAATAGGGGCTATAGAGATTTAAGTATTTCATCGTAGCCAGACTTCTGGTAATCTTCTGATAATCAAACAATTTGCTACTTGCCAAATGTCATCGCAATATTCAGAGTTGTTTGACTCTGACAATCCTATTTCTAATATATTCTCAGACTCTCTTCCCTCTTCTCAACGACTACCTTCATTAAATCAAATCCCTGCGGGCCTCGAATATACTGGCAAATTAAACCAATTCATCAAATGGACTAAGGATACACACGATGTATTCATTGAGTGGTGGAAGCTATCACGATGGTATGAACAACACTCAGATCATACTAGAAAATTTCTTACGAAGATTGCATGGGATTCAACCAACCGGAGTTCTCAATACTGGAGAATTTATCACCAAGGAGCAGACCGGCTTTCTGGAGAACCATGTGTCATTTGTACCTATTGTTCGAAGGCCCTTACGCATCCTGCAATCAAGTCTGCTGGCCCAAAGTCTATGGCAACACATCTTGCATCAGACATTTGCAAAAAGAAGTCACGGATGGGTAAGGATAGTCTCTATCAAATGCGAATCAATCAGATGCGACCTCAACAGGTAAGGATTACCAGATTATTACCAGAATTATATAGGCTAATATCTATAATAGGATCATATTCTCACACAAGAGGCATTTTACGAACAAGTTCTATACACAGTTATCTCAACTCATAGCTCGTTCCGCTCAGTCGAGGATCCTGAATGGAAAAGGCTTGCTATCTTACAGAATCCTCACTATCCACTACCCTCAGCAACAACTATTCGAAACCTCTTAACAACAAAGCTCACACAAATCGAAGAAGAGATGCTACAAGATGTTGTTCCTGGTTCAAAGATTGCATTATCGCTCGACTGTTGGTCAAGTGTTACTCGACTTTCATTTATGGGTGTTATTGCATCATTTATCGACCGTCATTGGAAAATGCAAGAGGTCTTGATTGGGTTTGAACCTATATATACAGAGCATACTGGTGCTGAGTTATGTGGAATACTTGAAAAAGTTATCACAAGGCAGCATTTAGAAGGACGAATTATATCCATTACGACTGATAATGCGTCAAACAACACTTCAATGATGAGAGATGTGGAAATAATGCTTGATAGTATTGCAGACAACGAGCATTTCATTGGAGGAAAAGTACAACACATACCCTGCCTAGCTCACGTTATTCAACTTGCCCTTAGTGCTCTCTTTGGTCGAATCCGGATTACGCCAACAAATCAAGAGATCTTAATGAACTGGGAAGAAGAGAATCAGATGGAGGGCCTTGCAAAGTTGCAGAAGGACAAGGGTATTGGATTTACACTTGGAAAGGTATATATTCTCTTGTTAGTTCTGGTAAACTTCTGGTAGTCTTTTCTAATATCTCATAGCTCCGGAAGCTCACTATCTTTGTTAATTCAAGTCAAACTCGAAGGAACAGGTTTATGACTTTGCAAAAGGCAAACATGAACCGGGGTCAATCATCTCAGAGGCTTCTTCGACTTATTCAAGATGTATCAACTCGATGGGATTCGACATGCCATATGCTTCTGCGAGCACAGCAACTCAAGTCAACAATCAATCAATATACTCGAGGCGATCATGGTGCTCACATGTTCAGACTTAGCGAGCTAGAATGGAAGCACATCGAATACATCATTGATCTTACAAGGCCATTCAACTTCTTTACAACAAACATTGGATCGTCAGCCGGACCTACTGTCTGCTATACACTTGGAGTATATCAAAAACTCTTATCAACGCTTGAAGGAACTCGGCACCGGCTACGGCATAAGACATATCCATGGGCAGCAAAGATGACTTTAGCAATCGATGCTGCAGAGAAGAAGATTAGGAAGTATTATAACAAGCTATACACAAATACTGGATCTATCTTCGCATTTGCTAGTATCTTAAATCCTAGTGTGAAGCTCTCACACTTTAACAAAAAGGTTTGCAAGCTTGACTTTTCAATACGAAATTGGGAGACAGAGTTTGAACAACAGTTTAGGACCCTTTATAAAGAGCAGTACTCTACAGTGCGAGTTGCGAGTCAATCAGGATTACGAGATGCAGATATGGATCCATTAGCCTTAGTATTGCAGCAAAGTCAGACATTAAATGGGACTCGGGGCCAGCGAGAGGAATATGTGAATGAGGCTGATCTCTATCTTGATGCTCGTAAGTTTCTGGTAATCTTCTGATAATCTTATTCTAACTTGTATAGCACATATCTACACAAAGATATTGCTATTTTGGCAACAAAAGGAAGAGCAATTTCCTGGTCTATCAGCAATGGCTCGTGATATACTTTGTATTCCTGCTGCTGAGTCTGGAGTTGAGCGAGTCTTTAGTGCCGCAAGGGACGTATGTGGCCACCGACGTGGTCAACTTAATCCTGAGACGATTAAGAGTATTATGCTTATATATTACTCTCGACAATACAAGAATCGTCAAGGTCATCGTGACAAGCTTGCAGATATGATGGACGTCGTTGATATGACTGAGGAGCAAGTCGAAGAAGAGTATGAGGCACAACGACAACGGATGTGCAATTCTATCGAGTTACAATATATCAGCGATGAAGAAGAACCACGATCAAATACACATATCCGAGAGACATATTCAAAGGTACAATATCCTCCGTTTAATCCTCAGCGGCCACAGCAACAGCAAGACTTATCACAAGCTGCACATGAAGAACGACAAATGCGCTACCAACAAGGTGAAGAAAGAGATAGGGCTGACCGTCTTAACGAGACCTTATACGACATCCCAGATGACGATATCCCAGATAATGAAGATATAAGAGAAGATGGTAATAATGAGGAGCCTATACTTCCAACTATTCATGACGATGAAGATAAGGATATGCCGTCCTCGCCACCAACGCCTATCCAACGCCCTCGGAAGACTGGAAGAGATCTACTTGATATCTTTCAAGCTACTCGTCAAGACCCTATAAATACTTTAGGTATTAGTAGGTCTGGCCGGCCTCATCAAGCAAGGTGGAAAGATGTTCTTGAGCATATATAATATAGTGTTCTGATAATCTTCTGATAATCGTGGTACTTAGATAGAGGAATATACGTGATTCGTTCTCACAGCTTATTAGAGATGGTAGAGTGATGCTGATAAATGTAATACTTTAAGTTAACTTACAACTGTAACCATAAAACAGTATTAATCGTATGAGGGACTGTTCACGTAATGCATATATCTTACACGTGACAGCCGAGTACTCACTGGGTTTTTACAGAGTAACTGAGTATTGGCCTCACTCACCGAGTCGAGTGAAAGGTTCAGCTACTCACCCAGCTGAGTAACCCACTGAGTGAGTGAGCCGAGTATTGGGCGAGTAGTGCGCAGCCTACCCACAACAACATCCGGCTGAGTAACCTGCACAAAATGCCCACTCTCCCTCGCAAAAACAATCTCCCCCCTCCCCGAAAGCTTCAAATGCTCCCTAATAAGCCCATCATTCTCCTCATCAACCATCCCAATCATCTCCCTAAGATACCTCCTCTCCTCCTCCGTCCCATTCCCCCTCTTCACCCCGGCCTCATACACCCTAACCCCATCCCAGCTCCTCTCCCCCCCAATCACAAACACCGGTTTCTCCCCCAGCAGCGGCTGTCTCTTCGCCAGCTCCTTTCTTTGCAGTGTGTCGAAACTGGGCTCGTACTCCGCAAACTCCTTGTCAGCCTGGAGCTGGAACTTCTCGGTCCCTTCGTCGCTAATGAACGCTTCCCATTCTTCTTGCGTCAACTGTTTTCTCACCTCAATACCCCTTGCTGCGTACGGTTCTAGGCCCTCACCTAGAGGTTTGAGAGCCGCTAACCATTTCTTCAGAGGGGGGAGTGTAGTCTCGTGATTAGCATCGACGAGCACCAATCCAGCGATATGCGGTCCATTCCCCGTAAGAGCGACGAACTCGCGAACCAGCACCCCAGCCCACGAGTGCGCGACAATGATGAGCGGATTCGCAATGGGCCCTTTCTCAATAAAATAGGAGAACTCTAGGGCGATATTCTCGGCTGTGGGCGCGAGAGGAGAGAGCGAGGAGTTACCGAAGCCGGAGCGGTCGTAGGTGTAGCTGCGTAGCGAGGGGGGCAGGAGGCGGGTGACGGCGGCCCAGACGAGGCGGCTGCTTGATAAGCCTGGGATGAATAGGACGACGGGGTCTGTAGAGCTGCGGGGTTCTGGGCCGTGGGTGTAGAGGGCGAGGGAGTGGGTGCCGATGTTGACGAGGGTGGGGGTTGAAGGAGGGGTTGAGGACATTGTGGGGTTGAGTTTCGCGTTTTGAGTTTTGAGTTTATAAGCTTTGTAGAGTTTTGATATATTGGTATTTATAGGTAATCTCGCAGGATGGCTTGATAGCACGTAAGAAGTCTTGAATGAGGTTATGGAGGGGTTGACTGGTTTCAATATGCAGCATGTAAGCGCGCTTATAAATCATGAATAGAACAATATATCACAGTCATGAACGCAAGAGCACTGCGTTTGTACAACTGGGCTATCTATTTAAGTAGGCAGACGGTTTAGATGTAAGGTTTTGATTTATATAGCTTGTTATATCGGACCCAGTACTGTATTCCCAAATCTTTGAAGCAATAATTAGCTGTTATACATAAAGCTGTCTAATATAGATATTCATATATCGCATACCCCCTCCATACTCAGTCAATTTGAAGTTGCAATCGGCAGCCACACAGGAGATCCGATTCCTCACTTTTCCATATCTGAACATTTGACAAGTACCAAGGGGCAGAGGGTGCGCGTGATTAATGCCACATACCTAAACTCTCTGGACGTGCTTGTCAGTTCACTTACCTTCAGGGCATCACCTCAAAAACTAATCAACAGCCATTTCCGTCACTTCAGGCGGACCGTTTCGCAGGTCGCGCATCGTCGTCCTCATCCTCGTGCCTGTCTCACTATCCTTATTCTCATCACCTAATTCAACACTGTTCTGCGGTCCCATGAACGAATATACCATCTACCTCTGGCGATACTCCTCATTCCCTGGCAACTCCACCACCGCATTCGCCCCCGCCAACTCATGCATCGGCTCCTGCTTCCCCGTCGACAACTCATGCGCCGGATCCCACGGCGGCAGCGCCACCCACGGAATCCCCTCTTTATTCTCGCTCTCGGCTTGCTGGCGCCGCCTCCTGAGAAAGAACACCGCGAGCGCAACGAGCACGACAGCGGCGACGGCGCCGACCACGATACCGCCTATAGCACCGCCGGAGAGGGGTTTAGATGGGGAGGAGGAGTCGGAGGATGGTGTGGAAGGCGCGGGGGTGGAGCTCGTCTTTGAGACGTCGGAGGCGCTGGTGGTTGGTGCGGCGGTCGTGTCGGTGGATGAGGGCGTGGATGAGGGCGTGGATGAGGGCGTGCTGGAGGAGACTTGGGAGGTTGTTTGCGTCGCAGCGAGTAAGGACTGGGGATCGAAGGACCAAGCTGTCGCGCCTGGGTCTGCGGCGCTTAGGGAGGAGTAAGTTTTGTTAAGAGGGAGAGACCCGATATCAAGAAGCACATCGTGTGATTTACTCCAACAGATGTTTATCTGCCCAGTTGCCCCCGTACACGACTCCCTAACCACGCCTCCATTAGCAAACCGAAGCGCGTCGCAGCTGGGAGAGGGGGAGCGCACGAATCACTAGTACAGCACCACGAGACCTTCGTCCCCGTGCCGCATTGAAACGTGCTGCCATCGCTGGCGCACGTCGCGACGCCGGCGAAGCACACGCTTCTGGGATCGCAGCAGTATGCTCGTCCGGTTACAGGGTTGCGGGCGCATGCTGATGGGGGCGTGCATTCCCACGGCATGCCTGGGCAGAGGTGCTTTGGGCCGGGGACGAAGAAGAAGGTGTTGAGGGTGTTGGAGGTGGTCGACATTGTGGTAGAGGGCGGCTTGTGGAGTTGTGATACCGTTGGACTGTGGTAGGAGGATAGATATGGCGAGGAGGAAAGATGAAAGATGGATGGGGAGAGAGTAGGTCAGTTGTAGGATTCGGAGGAGATCTCACACACGTGTTAGGTTATGCTGCTTACAAGTTATACAACTACCTGTTCAGCTACTGTACTCGCATGCATATCGACCAACGGGGCTGTCATGTCTGGCCGGGGTTCTCAGCTCTCATCTCGCTTCATCGAATTCGCATTAGCGATTCCTTCCTAATCAAATCAAGGCTTAACCGTCATACAAATCCTTCAAATGGGGCGTGTTCGGAAATATGTCAAGTATTATATGTATGCGTAGATATATAATACTGTATGATGGCGTTGATAGATATTGCTAAAAGGCAAATCGCATTATCATTTGCTATTGTTCAACTGTCAGGGACAGGAACAACAACGGACCGTGGCTATTCTAGCGTCGCACGCTCCACTTGGCGGTGGGTCTAGCGTCGCACGTCAGGAAACTATATAAAAAAGCATGAAAAGCATGTTGGGGCTTGTCCACAAGCCACAGTTATATGGCGATCTATTATATAATACTGTACAGCTAATGCAAATAATAAACGCCATGCTAGCTGTTTACTACAGCTGCAAAGGTGTCAATATAGTCTAAGCCATATATCTGTTCAAATCCCTTAGCTACAACTTCAGCTTTAAATTCAACAGTATCATCTTTTTGGTAGTATGATTTTGTTACTACTAGTGTCTTCTTTACTCTCTTGCACGTCTAAGCAAAATATCTACCTCAGACCTCGGCCGTTTTTCAGCCTTTTCAGCCTATGGTCATCACCACCCTCCCATATTGACCAAAAACCGAGAAATTTCATCTCTTCCTCTCACATCTATACATCTCCCTATGCTACATGCCCACTATAAAGCGCGGAGCAACGCTATGCTGTGCTTAAAAACACCAACAATGTAACACATAGATACACCCATCACTCCTTCCCTACGTCCCCGTCGTCTCAAAAAAACACAGTCAATTATTCACAAGCTTAAAAAAATAAAGATACATAGAAGGTGCATGAAAAAAGTACAAACTATCTAGAACGCCATACTATAGGAAATGCAGCAGTCTAGAGCAACACGGCGAAGCCAACCACAACAGCGGCAAGCGCGCCGGTCACGCCGGAAAGTTCACGGCCGACGGCCACGGCACCGTTTGTTCCGGTTGCCGCCGCTGCATTGGTACTGGTGGCCGTTGGGATTTGGTTCTTGCCGCCGCCGGTTGGCTTGTTGGTCGCGGATGCAGTGAAGACCTGGTTGAGCGTGGGGAGGGCGACGTCGCCGTTCAAGAGCCAGCCGCCGGCGGTAGACTTCGGGCAGGCTGGGGCGGTGAGCTTTGGCGTGTACGCGGCCTTGGCGGTTCCCTTGGGGTTGTTGGTCTTCCAGACGGCCTGGAGGTTGGAGAAGTCAGGCTGGACTGGGGTCGGGGTGCCCTTGCGGAGGAAGCCGTCCTCGATGTTATCGTCGGTCTTCTCTCCCTGTGGTGGTCCGTAGCTGATCAGCCCATAGTTGTTTTTCTCCTCGATCCACTCGTAGACGATGGCGCCAGACCAGAGGTCGTTCATGTCTGGGCCAAGGATGGCATTCTGATCGAGGAAGAGGCGGGGGCGAGCGGTGTTGCAGCCAGTCTCCGAGAAGAAGATGGGGACGGGGTATCCTGCGGCCATATCGTTTAGGGTTTTGTATCCAGAGGTCTGGAAGTCGTTGCCCGGCTCGCACCACTCGTAGGCGTTCAAGCTGAAAAAGTCAGCCGTATCTGCAGTGTCGCCGCAAACAAGGTAGTTCTGGAGCATGGGGCGCAATTCTGCGATATCTGCGGCGGAGTATCCAATCGGGATCTTGCGGAATCCCTGCTTGTCACGGTAGGCCTTCATGTCGCGGGTGGCAGCCTTGATATATGGCGCAGCCTCAGACTGGTTGGCACGGGCAATGACCTCGTTGCCAATAAAGACACCGAGAGTGTTGGTGTATTTGGCGAAAACGTCGAAGATGGCAGAGTAGGCCTTGTACTGGGAATCGGCCCATGTTGGCTTCAACTATAGAACAATTAGTTTCACTCCCAATGTATAAATTTCCCATGTATAGAGAGTAACCACATACCGGGTCGATATCAGTTGCAAAGTCGTCGAGATCCACCAGGATATAGATGCCGTTATCGGCAAATGCGGACATGCACCCATCGTGGTCGGCCGTGGGGTCGACGTGGTAGACACGGATAGTATTGGCACCCAATGTCTTCATCGCCTTCGCATCGAGTGTGCATTGTTCGGTGTCCTTCAACGGGTCATGGGGAATCAATTGATACGCAATGCCTGGAAACATGAGTTAGCAGTTGGCGCAGGACACCCAGGACCGAGCTTGCCGTACCCTTAATGAAGAACTGCTTCCCCGAAGGGTCAAAGAACTTGTTTCCCACCACGGAGATCTCAGGGAGCGAGGCGGCCACGGCCGTTGTGGCGGCAGCAATGGCAGCGACGCCAGCCTTAACGAGCGTGCTGGAGAACATATTGAACCACGAACGCAACGGGCGAGTCCTAAAAAGGAGTGTTCCTGAAAAATGAGTGTTGTATAACAGATGGGTTATCGTAGCTCTAAAAAATATAGCTGCTGCGGGAAGAAGGTCGCAAAAAAGGCGTTCTGGTCCAAGGAAGTTGGCGGGTGAGAGCGGGGCGTGTGGATCAGATCGATCAAAGTTGGCAGGAACGATGGACAGTGATTGTGGGTTGACTAGGCCGGAGCTTGTTTCTCTATCGCGACTTCCTCATGAAGGATGAGAGATGAAAGAGAAGTGAGGTCGGAGCGAGTGACGACGGTGGAGGATATGTAGGATCCATGGGACAGAAGCAAAGAAAGAAGGCGACTCCCAAGACCAAGTTTGATTAAAGAACGGCCAGTGAAACTTCAGAATGGAGCACTACGTAGTTAAGAGAAAACAAGGAGGATGATCTGGAGAAACATTTGCCTCTCGATGGGATACTCGAGTGTACTATGTAGAGCATTGTAGCGTGGTAAAGGTGTGGAGAAGTGGAGTGGATGGGTATAGCGGCGGTAGCATGGCCGTAGTACGTTTCGTATTGTCACAAAAAAGCACAAAAAAGCACAAAAAAGCACATCCAACCTCCCCCGTCTCTCCTCTCACATCACCTTCCAACATCCTCGTGTCGACGCGGTCAGCAAAAGCCTCACCATCACCGTTGCTTCGACCGCCGCATTGGCCGTCACATTGACGGAGAAGAGCAGTACCTTATGCACTCGTACTCGACTGAGGCGCACCAGTATGCTTCCATTCTGGCCTGAGCCATGGGGCAGTCGATTGTCGGATAGCTGGATAGCTGGATAGCTGGATATCTGGATAGCTCGACAGCTGGAAGTTCCTCATATTTCCAAGCGGTTTTCTCCAAAGACACGGTGATCTCATCGCGCAGCCCAGGCGTCAAAGATCACTTCGCTCCCCGGTCTCATAAGTCGACCAATGCGGGAGTACCTGGACGGTACGCCCCACCTCATGACGTGGATCTGTTTACACAGACAGCTCGGCGCGGTTACTCGACAAGGAGCGCGTCCGGGGATTGATCCTCTCTCGGTCCAAATGTTTGTGGCGCCCACGAGTATTGGACTCTGGAAGGCTGTGTTGTTCAAGACACCAAAGCCCTGTCGTGGGCACAACATCTCAGTCGAATCACATCCAGCACATGTGGACGACCACCGACAACGACCAAGGTAAGAGGCCAAGGTGAACGACCACCAAGGTGGGCGACCAAGGTGAACGACCACCAAGGTGGGCGACCAAGGTGAACGACCACCAAGGTGGGCGACCAAGGTGAACGAACGATCGAGTCTGATCAAGACTTCTCTTTCTGTATCCCTTCTCAAACTGTCATCATTATCCCATCCGTACGGTCATTTCTTGTCCTCATCATCTTCGCATACTCGTGTTGTCTGCCTGCATCCCGAATTTTACATTTCCTCCTCCATGCTGCCACCTGCATCCCACTGTCCGGGTCTCAGCCACGCCAGCCATGCCGTCAGCCCGCGCCGAAAGAGCTCCCGCTTCGGCTTCCCCGGCCTGGCTGTGCATGTGTGCGACGGTGATAAGCCATGTCCCAGGCATGAATATCAAGATGATTCGCGGCGCATGCCTGTGCGGTTCCACGTTGTCCTCCCCCAAAACCAGAAATTGGGAGCCTCAGCCTTACGGACCCCACACTGTTGGCATCTTCATTTCGGTCCATCCCATATCCGAACATGTTGTTCAATCGTTCCCTAGTTACACGCCATGTCCATGGCGTTTTTTTGTCTTGGAGCCCACGCAAGTGCGAGAAAAGACAAGATTATGTTGGGATGAGATCCTGGCCATGTGTCTTTAGATCATGCATTTTATCTCTTCGCCGCGCTTATGATGTTGGCAACTAGCCCCTGCCAGCGGAATGTCAAAGGGAACACAATCAACCCTTCTCTTGGAATGGTATCCACATAGAGAGATGGCCTCCGGGCGCAATAGTTGGGTGTGCTATAGCCACTTATTTTGAGATAGTACCAGCGCCCGAGACTACATGTGCCATGAGGCAATCGGCAGTGAGCCGAAAGCAGGAAGTTCTGCAGGAGTATCTAGCGTTTCTCCCAGCACAGCGGCGACATATAAATATAGACATCAACACCACAATATGAACATACCGAGGCGCAGCGTGTACCCATAATCCTACTTCTGGACGAACATGATGAGCAACATCTCAAAGAAGGAATAAAGCTGACACTATTTTAAAAGGGTGACACTGTGCCACCAACATTAAGTTAGCCGACATGCTGTCTATCATACCAACTCGGATGCGTATCGTTGATACCCCAACGTATTCAGGTCAAGTGAAATATTCCTCGTTTGGCTAACTTCACGTCCTATATGAACCCCTTTGAAGCGCGTCTCCACAGGCCATAGTCGACGAAATCACAATATCCCCCAAGCCACCTCACTGCGTCTGTTTTGTCGCATGATAATGTTGCTCGCCGATGCTTGCTTGCATATAATCATTATCTCTGGTTCGGCGTTCCCTCGATAATACCTATATCATAACTATCTAACTTGCTGCCAAAGCGATTCCAACCTTCCGTCTTCCATTTCCCTGTGATATTGGAAGATGGCCAGCAGAAACCGCCGGCACACAAGCATTCTCTTCGAGGCGTTTCGCCTCGGAGGGGCCAAGGCTCTATCTGAGATATACGCAGCCCACGGCGCTGTTCGAAATGCAAAGCCAGTCGCATTTTCAAATGATATGATGTGGTGGGATGATGAGCGTGTTGGGGCCACAGTTGACCGTGCATATGTTGAATCCCACTTGCCAGACGAGACTCTGAGGTTGGACCAACAGCCCGGATTTGGGGATGGCCTGACCGACGACACGTATTTCGAGTGGATAGTAACGAAGGCGAAACGGATATTTCTTATCCTTGTTGATATCGGCGTACCAGACCAGATTTTCGGCGCCGTGGACGATTCGTGGGACGATGACGATCTCCCGCTTCAGCTCGATCAAGTGGCGAGACTACAGCTAAGGCGCACTAAAGATGAGAGGCTCGACAGGAAGTTTTTCGAGCGACAGTTCACTTACTTGATGAGGCACCTAAAGCCAGAAGAGAATCTGGTCTATGAAGCCGTCGAGATTGTTCCGCTGGAGCCGTTAGATAGACGCCATGTCGGGACTCAAGCCAGTCCTACAAATTATAATGTGGACAAGGTATGCATCCCAGGACGACCTGATGATATTTTTATCCGGCGACGGATTTCCCTCGGTGACGGTCCTGGTCAGGTCATGGAAGCAGACTTTTTGTCTGGAATCGAGAGCATGAGGGCACGGAGTAACCAGCACGTCGTGTCTCTGTGGGCATCCTACATACAGCAGTCCGCCGGGTATCTTCTGCTAACTCCAATACATGAATGGACCCTCACATCTGTTCTAACGACTCTACCGCCGTCTATGAAGATCTTGGCCAAGAGGGACCGGCGGGTTCTTGTGCTGGACTGGATGCATTGCCTTGCGGATGCAGTTGCGTCTCTCCACAACCTAGGCCTAGCCCATGGCCAGATCAAACCATCAAATATCTTCCTCGACATGGACAACAAGATCTTTCTTGGCGATGTTGATGTTTTTGGATTGGACCCCGCGAAAGAATTTGACCAGGAGAACTACGACTACGGCGCTCCTGAGCTTTCAAGCCATATCCACACCGAGCCCGACAAACCCCAACGCCTCATCAACCGAATGCGGCGCAGGTTCTCTGCCACATCTCCAGAACTATCTCCAAGACGCCTCTTCCCACCCTCACCGCCAGCATCCCCTTCTCACCCCAACATAATAACCTCAACCCTCTACCTCCCCGCTCCCGCCGCCCCCCCTTCCCCAGCAGGCGACCCAATCAAAGGCGACATCTACTCCCTCGGCTGCATCTACCTCGAGCTCCTCACCCTCCTCATGAAACGCTCCTCCCGCACCTTCTCCCGCCACCGCGCCTCCAAGCCCTCCACACCACCCACCCGCACCGCCCCCCACGCCGACTCCTCCTTCCACCACAACGCCGTGGAAGTCGAGACCTGGGTCTTCAGCCTCGCCAAGGATGCTAGACAGAAGGAAGACCGCCTTTTTCGCGGGATCACGCACCTCTTGAACTTGACTCTGCGCATGCTTAGCCCGCATCCGATGGATCGACCGAGTGCGCGGTTTTGCGAGGAGAGGGTGTATGAGATTCTGTCGAATAATTCGGGTGTGGAGGGGACGCATTGTGGGAGCGCGAGGATGTGGAGGGTCGTGGATGGGATGGTGGAGGTTGCGAGGGGGGTGCCGGGAGCGGGGGGTGATGCGCCTGGCGGGGGGAGGGGGCACAGTTGGCTGACGGGGAGGGGGGGAAGTAGGTCGGGGAGTGCGAGTCAGAGTGGGAGTGCGAGTAAGAGTAGTGTGTGTGGGCCGATGGGATGGGGTCTGAGAGACAGGCCGAAGGCGAGGCCGTGGAAGGCGCCTATATATTCTGGTGAGTTTGTGTCTGTCCGAAACCCCCTGAAAATATGGGTTGCTATTTGTGTGCTTATGCTAATATTATTGGGGCTGCAGAGTTTAGCTTTGGCTGAATTACCGACTATCGAGTTATATTGTGGATTCTCGATATTAGTGGAGGTCAGTAGAAATGAGGGAGCTTTGTGTAGAATGGTGACCTTGACAGGTTCAGATATCAATCAAAGTAGAGCAATTGAGGGCGCGGAACGTCACGGATTTGGCCTTTCTTACTTTGTAAAGCGACATTTGTTATGGTAGAGCCTATTAAAGATTAGCTAGTTATTATGGAATATTTCGCATATATATGCTGTCTTCGTTGAGGTTGAGATTTCGGCGACGATATTCACGCCCCTATCAACGAGGTCACGTGTGCAGGCCCTAACTGGTGAAATTCTTTACATGAGTTGAAGAGAAGGCCAAACCCATAATATAGCTAGGTTTAATCATCGTAGAGCCCTCAAAATACACAAATTAAGTGTCATGGTAGCTTAAATCCGCATATCTAGAATTGTAGTGATTTTTTGGTGTGATTTGGAACCGGCGGCCTCATATATAGGGCCACAAATCACCAAGAGCTCGTTCAGAATAATTTCCATCGAGAGCGCGGTAACAGGAGAAAGTAACCCACGCGTCTTTCCGCTCCCACCACCTTCTATCCCCAAATACGAACCCCAGGAGACGTCAGTTTTCTGAGAAGAACGCATAGCCCAGCCTCTCCACATCCGAATCGCAAGGAAGACCCTTGCACAACGTCAAGATGCAGGCTCCAGTGGTGGTTATGAGTATGTGGAACCCCTCTTCAAGAAGAGCTCTACGGGAAAGGAAGCTGGTCTTCAAAAATGAAATGCTAACGGATGTGTGTTCAGACACTGGCGGGAACAACGATAGGCAGACCGGTCGCAAAGCTCAGCTCTCGAATATCACAGCCGCGAAAACGTGCGTATATCATGTCAGGGATAGGTGCGGAGAAGTAGCGGAAGACGCAGGAAGGCTGACGGTGTGAACAGAGTTGCGGATATCATCAGATCATGTCTCGGACCCAAGGCTATGCTGAAGATGTTGCTCGATCCCATGGGCGGAATCGTGCTGACGAACGATGGCCACGCCATTCTCAGAGAGATCGAGGTTTCACATCCGGCGGCGAAGAGCATGATTGAGCTTAGCAGAACACAGGACGAGGAAGTTGGAGATGGAACGACCACAGTTATTATTCTTGGTGAGCTTTGCAAGCTATTTGGATGGGGGACGTGGGCTAATATACCGCAGCTGGTGAGATCCTCGCACAAGCTGTCCCGCAGCTCGAACGCAATATACACCCCGTCGTCATCATCTCCGCTTTCAAGCGTGCTCTCGCAGACGCCATCCTGATTATCGAGGAGATCTCTCTCCCCGTCGACATCGATGACGACGAGGCCATGTACAAGTTAATATCCTCCTCCATCGGCACCAAGTTCGTCTCGCGCTGGTCCGAACTCATGTGCAACCTCGCCCTCAAGGCCGTGCGCACCGTCACCCACGAGATCGGCAACGGCAAGAAGGAGGTAGACATCAAGCGCTACGCGCGCGTTGAGAAGGTGCCCGGAGGCGAGATCGAGGACTCGCGGGTGCTGGACGGCGTCATGCTGAACAAGGACATCACACACCCCAAGATGCGTCGCCGGATAGAGAACCCGCGCATCGTGCTGCTGGACTGCTCGCTCGAGTACAAGAAGGGCGAGTCGCAGACCAACATCGAGATCAGCAAGGAGGAGGACTGGAACCGCATCCTCCAGATCGAGGAGGAGCAGGTCAAGGCCATGTGCGATGCCGTGCTGGCCCTCAAGCCCGACCTCGTCATCACCGAGAAGGGCGTCTCGGATCTCGCGCAGCACTACCTCCTCAAGGGCAACGTGACCGCCCTCCGCCGTGTGCGCAAGAGCGATAACAACCGTATTGCCCGCGCCACCGGCGCCACGATTGTGAACCGCGTCGACGACCTGATTGAGGAGGACGTTGGTCTTCTGTGCGGCCTCTTCGAGATCGAGAAGATCGGCGACGAGTACTTCACCTTCCTGACTAAGTGCCGCGAGCCAAAGGCCTGCACCATCCTCCTCCGCGGACCGTCAAAGGACATCCTCAACGAGATCGACCGTAACCTCGCGGACGCCATGGCCGTCGCGCGTAACGTCATGTTCCACCCGCGCCTGGCGCCCGGTGGTGGCGCGACCGAGATGGCGATTAGTGTCCGTCTGGGTCAGCTGGCGAAGGGCGTCGAGGGCGTGCAGCAGTGGCCGTATCGCGCGGTTGCGGATGCGATGGAGGTTATCCCCCGCACGCTCGTGCAGAACGCTGGTCAGAGCCCCGTGAGGGTGCTGACGGAGTTGAGGGCGAAGCAGGCGGAGGGAGGAAGCAGCTGGGGTATTGATGGTGAGACGGGTAAGCTGGTTGATATGAAGGAGTATGGTGTTTGGGAGCCGGAGGCGGTGAAGCTCCAGAGTATTAAGACGGCTATTGAGGTATGCTATTTCGTCCTGCCCCCTTACTTTTGGGAGGTTTGATGTTGGAAGATTGAGGCTAATGTGATTACAGTCGGCTTGTCTGTTACTGCGCGTGGACGACATCTGCAGCGCCAAGGCAGCGAGGATGGGTGGACCTGCTGGTGGAGGTGGTGGAGAGGAGTAAAGAAATAGGAGAAAGCAAAATAGAGAAAAAATGGTTATGTATGAAAAGCCGATGATCTTATAGAGCGCGCGCCCATGTAAACATAATGGAAGGTCTCAAAGAAGTGGATGGGCTGTGGATTGCAATACGATGAAGTGATGCTCTTAATTCTACATGTCTGTTTGATAATACATTTAAGCTCCAGGCTGTCGTATGGATTCCCGCTCCTCGGTGGTTGAAGTCGACGAGACTCCTTCATATGTGGATTCAACAACACGGCGAGTGACCCAGTATCATAGCTGCGCATCGGAGATACCGGCCATATCATATATCCACCCAGCAGCGTTTCCAACGGCCATGCGACTTCTGTAGCCTCCACAAACTGGGATATCTCGGCTCAGAGGCGCGTCTGAAATTTGCAGGGCATTGATCCCAAGTGGGCATGCTCAATCGTCGTCATGAATGATAAGGCCCTGTTCCTGCGCCGCCTCCAGCGCTGGCGCAACACTCACGCCCGCCGCATCCCCCATCACCACATCAGCCCTCGGCTTCATTCCCCCAACTTTAACACCCTCCTTCACCCCTCCCTCCTTCCCACCCTTCCCATTCTTCCTCCTCCCCTCCCTCTTCCTCCTCCTCCTCTCCGTCGCCTCCCTATCCCTGTCCTCCCTCTCCCTCTTCTCCCTCTCATACTCCTCCTCCATCTTCTCCCCTAACACTTCCTCATCCATCGCCTTCAGTCTCGCGAACTCCCGCCGCCGACTCGCTTTATACACATGGAACTCCCCGCTGCCCGCCCCCGCGCTGGATCCCTGCACGTTCGCGACGATCTCGGGGGGCGCGGCGGAGTAGGCGGGGGAGCTGCTGCTCCTGGCGCTGTTGGCGAGCGCGAGAGCGGCGTCGGGCTTGGCGAAGAGGTGGGATATGTTGGCGGCGGTGGCGGAGGAGGGGGAGAGTGCGCGTTTTTTGGGGCGAGAGGTGGAGTGCGAGGGGTGCTGGGAGGTGGGGACTGATTCGGGGATTCGTTCAGACATTGTTGGCGGTGTTGGTTTTGTGTTGATTGGGATGTTGGAGGTTGGTGGTGGGGTAGGCGCGTGGGCGGGGTGGGTGGTTTGTGTCGTGATCAGCTGTACGGGTTAAGTAATGCTGAAGTCGAAGTTGTATCAGGTTGTGGTGGAGGATGGCAGATGGGCAACTATTTTGGTCATTCCGAGTTTCCGCAAGGCAAGGATTAGGGGTTGACGGGTGTGTGTCGCCACTGGCTTATCGATAACGGTTTTGAAACGCCGATAATGCAATTGGTGTTCATCTATATATAAACCCTCAAACCACGACGATCGGGAAATAGCTCTTATAGCTACACTTTAAATTGTTCTTTGCCGTCTGCCTATTTTATATTTTGTATTCGAGGTTATTAAGTTGGATAGCAAAGATGGGGAAGCCACGCATGATCATCCTGATTAGACATGCCCAGTCAGAGGGAAACAGTATGAGCCCTCCCATGTCATTTGCTAGGATAATACTAATCCCTTCCTATAGAAAACCGTGATATCCACCAAAACATCCCTGACCACCGCGTCAAGCTCACCAACGATGGCTGGGACCAAGCCCACGAAGCAGGGCGCCAGCTCCGCGCCCTCCTCAAGCCAGACGACACCCTCCACTTCTTCACCTCCCCGTATCGCCGCACCCGCGAGACGACCGAGGGCATCCTCAGCACGCTGACCTCGGACGACCCGTCGCCATCGTCCTTCCCGAGGGACAAAATCAAGGTGTACGAGGAGCCGCGACTGCGTGAGCAGGACTTTGGCAACTTCCAGCCCTGCTCGGCTGAGATGGAGAGGATGTGGCAGGAGCGTGCAGACTACGGGCATTTCTTCTACCGTATTCCGAATGGAGAGAGTGCGGCGGACGCATACGATCGGGTTAGTGGCTTCAACGAGTCGCTGTGGCGGCAGTTTGGAGAGGACGACTTTGCGAGTGTTTGTGTCTTGGGTGAGTTTGCTCCAGCCTGTCACATGTCGAGATAGCTGACACGGGGATAGTCACGCATGGTCTCATGTCTCGAGTCTTCTTGATGAAGTGGTACCACTTCTCCGTCGAGTACTTTGAGGACCTACGCAACGTCAACCACTGCGAGTTCCTGATCATGCGCAAGGACGAGGACAGCGGCAGATTCATCCTCGAGAACAAACTACGAACGTGGTCTGAGCTCGCGCGCGAGCGTCTCTTGAAAGAGAAGTCAGAAAAGGAGCTCGCAGAGGAGAAAGCTTCGATGGATGCCATCCCATCACCGATGTCCGAGACGAACGGAGGAGTTGCAGGGATGAAGCCAGGGGATCTGCCGCCGACTCCTACTGTACCAAAGAGGAAACAATGGGGTGGCTGCCCGAACGGGTGTGATCATGGGAGATTCTATTATCGAAGGGAAAACGGCGTGGCAAGTCACAGTTCATCCACCAATCTAGCTGAGGCACCGCCGGTGCGCCGCGCATTCCATAAGCGCTTCCAGAGCAGCAGTGAGGAGGACGAGGATGACCCACGTGGGAGATTATCCAATCCGTCAAAATCCGACAGCAAGAGCAGCAGCGAAGAAAACGGGACTGGTAAGGTAGCGGGGATCCAACGCAGCTTGGACAGCATGTTACTCTCGGAACCGACCGAGGCGTTCGTCACAGACAAGCAGACCGCCCACCGGGCCAAACCGAGAGACAAAGCCGTCGGCGCGGTCTTGCACGCAGGTCGTGACTTCGGGGGCTCAGCGAGCGGCAATACAAGCCGAGCAACGAGTGACGCCGAAGCAGAGGCCGATACGGAGGGTCTTGGGCGGGAAGGGGACAGCGGCCGGCGGCGGACGAAATCGAAGAGGGAGAAGAAGGAGAGGGGTTACAAGGATAGTGGGATGGGGAGAGGGGCGAGGGCAAATACCCTTGGAGACCAGAGCCAGGAAGAGGAGGCATGTGCGAATTGTGGAAGCGTGACGGGGAATGGAAATCATCAGCGGCGAAAGGATCGCGCCAGCGCGCGTGCTCAGACCTCTAGTGGTGATGAGAATGCAGAGACGGATGCGCTCTTCATCGGCAACATCGAGGCCGGCCATACTGAGGAGACGCTCGGCGCGGCCTTTAATGCCCACGGCACCGTCGTGAACGTCAGAATCCCAACTAATCGGTAAGTCTTCCCGCCTACACAACGTAATTCCTACCAATTCCTCTACTAGTGACACTGGCAACCTCAAGGGCTATGGATATATCACATTCTCGTCTGTAGCAGAGGCCAAGAGCGCATTGGAGACTATGAAAGGTTTTGATGGAAATCAACAGCCATTACACGTCGAGTACGCTACTCGTCAGCAAGCACTCGAAGCAGGTGGCGGAGACGGTGGCGAATGTGTAGATGGAGGCTGTAAACGTGACGTCGAGTCGGAGGAGGAAAATGACAGGGAGGAAAAATCCGTGCATGGCAGTGTGTATTGAGGCGCAGTGGTCCCATCAAAAAAAGGTGCCGCATAAGTGGTGGTGTGCCCGGTTTACAGGCGTTGGTTAGTTATTAAGCGACTGGCGAGCGTCGCTATTATTTATTCTTCATATGGCGAGAACAAAATATATCCCACCTAAGCGCTTTGTCTTCTCAAGTTCTCACATTGTTTCAAGAAACACGCAGGGCAGCGCGGTGGTTGGCCAAGACGGCCGTAACATCGTTTCTCCGCGCCGAACACCAACGTGCGGGATCGCCCATGAGCTGAAGATGAAACGGCGACGCGGACACCCAGCCTCTTGTTATGCTGTCAACCTCATTCGCGCTGTCGTCGACAGAAAGACGGCCTGTGAGGCGCTGTGAGAACGGATGAAGACGCGCATGGTTCGCGCTTGTGGTAAGTCAGGGGCGGGAGACGGGCTGGGGAAGGCTTGTTGGAAGGCTTGTATATTTCTCGCTGTTTCCCCCTTGTCCTGTCTTCTCCTCTTCTTTTCTGCTTCTTCTGTACGACTTCCACAGTTTTGCTCAAAGTACTTTTCTCACTCCTTTACTCCAAAACACGATAGACGAGCGGCAGCTTTGAAAGAAGCCCTGGGGTCTCGATCTACATTCATTCATTCATACATCGTGCTATTCACTCCCTTGTCCATCCAGACCAGTTCGTTCGCAGTAGCATACTCGGAAAACAAAGACATTCAGATCACTCTTTCCATAACTACTATCGACGACTCGAACAACAAAATCCAAACCAGCAACAACCGCCAGTTACCACACCAACTTCACCCACATCACCAACCAACACCGTCACCATGCAACTCACCAACCTCCTCGCCCTCCCCCCCCTCCTCCTCGCCCTCCCCACCCTCGCCGCACCCCTCCCCACCGCCCTGGCCCAACTCCTCTCCATCGCCCCCACCTCCACCACCTGCGCCTCCGCACCCTTCCCCCTCGAATGCCGGACCGCCGAGCAAGCCGCACCCTTCCTCATCTCCGCCATGGCCGCCAACTCAGTCTACGCCCCCCCGGAGCTCGCCGCCCTCTTAGCGCTCATCGCCTTCGAATCCGGGGATTTCAAATACTCCCACACCCACTTCCCCGGCCGCCCCGGCCAAGGAACGCGTAACATGCAGATGCCCGGCTTCAACCTCGCCTACGCGCTTAGTCTCCCCGGGACTAAAGACGCGGCTGCCAAGATTGCCGCGGGGAGACAGGCGGATGCGCTGAGTGATGCGGAGAAAGACCGGGTTCTGGCGCTGGTGGAGGGGGATGAGTTTGGGTGGGGGGGGTGGCGTGGTTTTATAATAGTCAGTGTGGGGAGCATGTGCATACCGCCGTGAAAGCCGGGGGGAAAGCTGGGTGGGTGAGTTATTTGGGGTGTGTGGGTGTTACTTCGTCGGCCGAGAGGGATGCGTATTGGGAGAGGGCGACGGCGGCTTTTGGGTTGTGAGGGGTGGCGGATGGTCCGCAGGCAGACGAGAAATGGGGGGGTGAGGAATGGGGGTGAGATGGATGGTTTGTTGTATATATACCCTTCTTACAGTATGCGAGTTATCTTAAGAACGTTTATGTGTTGGTGTAGGATGTATATTGATCACGGGGATGTAGAGTGTAAGCTGTATACTGGCTACATCATCTCCATGACCAATATACAGCCTATACACCCTACACGTCCCATCTCCATGTCAAATATACAGCCCACGTCTTCATAACCATGACCAATATACATCCCATACCTCCCCATCACCCCCCTCTTCCCTCCCACATTCCACCCCCCTCCAGCTCATAATCCACCCCCCACCCCCCCACCTACCCCCTCTCAACCAACCTCTCCCCCACCCCCCTCCAATACCTCAACCTCACCACCTCCCCCCTCGCCCCCTCCCACTCCCCCCTCCCCATCATCTCCCCCACCCTCTCCTCACACCTCGCAACCCTCTCTTTATTCTCTCTCACCAACCCTTCCATCTCCCCCTCCTCCGCCCCTTCCACCGCCTCACGCACTTCCATAACCTCGTCTAAGAATTCCATGTCCTCCTCCCCCCCCCCCCCCCAGCCCCCTTCAACACCTAACCCCAAGCCACCACCCATCTTCTCCCCCTCCTTTTTACTATCGATACCGTGAAGAGAGAGGATATATTCTGCCCGACGCAAACCGTCGCGGAGGGTGCCGTAGGCATCGTTTATAACCGCGCTCATAGCCTCAGCACGCGCTTTGGAAGCGCCACTGTGCACGTCTGGGTGCGCAGAGGCTTGGAGACGGAGGTATTCCCTGCGCAGGGAGGGGAGGTCGATCGCAAATGGACCCGCTGGGGGAGGGCCCGCGGGGAGGGTGAGGGGGAAGAGCGCGTAGTGTGTTTTGTGAGAGGGTTGGCGCTGTTGCGCCGGTTGTTGTTGGGAGTGTGGTCGCGACTGCGCCTGGGTCCGTTCCGCCGCATCGTGCTGTCTGGTTGTACAGGATGTGGCTGATGATTTGGAGGAATGTCGCGGTCGCGCGGCGAATACAGCTCGTGCGCGCGCGATCTGCCTTGGTGGTGCTGCTGTTGAGAGGAGGCGCGGGGAGGGCTTCATTTTGGCGGCTGTGGCTGTTGCGAGAGTTTCTCGCCCGCGTCCTTGTAGCGGTCGTGTGCGCGCTGAGGTCGTCTGTATATATCTATCGCCTGCACTTATTTTGCTATTCTCGCGCTCGTCGGATCCTGTATCGTTTGGGCCTCGGAGTTTATGGTACAGAGAGGTGCGCCACACTGCACTGTGGCTCATTAACTGTGGGACAGCGGTGGAGGGTGCTGTGGCGCAGTTTGGTAGTGCTTGGTAGTGGGGTCGTGGGGGGTGAGGGGATTTGGTGGGGTTCTTGGGGATTTGGGGATTTGGGGATTTGGGGATTTGGGGATTTGGGGATTTGGGGATTTGGGGATTTGGGGATTTGGGGATTTGGGGGTTTGGGGATTTGGGGATTTGGGGAATTGGGGATTTGGGGATTTGAGGAATTGAGGAATTGAAGAATTGAGGAATTGGGGAATTGGGGAATTGGGGAACTGGGGAATTGGGGGGATTTTGAGGACTTCGTGTGCTGGTCCAAGATCACCAAAGGAAACGATACAAAGATTTCCAATACAACAAACAGCTTCCCACGCACATGAAAACATTGAAGGACACATCCAATCAAGACATCCCAACCACTCCACCACCCACGCAAAGCCCAAAGTCCTCATTCACCCCCCCTGAACAAAAGTCAAAGGCATCCTACAACAAAGGATTCGACGGCGGCGGGACGACCGACGACGGATTGAAAAAGGCTGGGCAGCTTGCGATCTCGGTGAAGGGCTGCGCCGAACGATAGCAGTTTTGTCGACAACAGCGAGGAACGACAACGGCTGGCAGCTGCGTTTCCTGGGGCTGTTGTTTGGTCGCGAGATGCCTACGCGAGGCAGACCAGAGATACGCACCCGGCGATGGCCTGCAGAATACACTAACTGTAGTCGTCCATGATCCCACGTCATCTATATTGTCTTTGAGAAACCTTTTCCGCTTTGCTTTGTTGATAGGCAGGCACAAGCCTACGCCGCTCGTCTCCGTTCACCAGTGACAAGACACTCACCTCGCACCCTCAACACCCCTCCCCCACCCCGTGCCTCACACTCCTCCGCGCCCGTCCACCCGCCCCGACGGACGTGGTAAGGAGATGAGATGATGAGGGTGAGTTGAAGAAAACCTTTATAGATTTCTGGATTTCTAGTCTATGAACACGCGCCTATCAACAATAATCCCGTCGTTTATCAAGCATCCTCCCATCCAATCCCATCTTGTCAAATCCGCGCATCAAGCGCTCCCCATCCCATATCTATTATCCCTCTCGCCCACTCCATCCCTTCTCATACATCCAGACAAAACAAAACGTCTCTAGTGGTCCTCTAAGCCTTCTGCCCATTAACGGCCTTCTTCCCCTCCCCCCTCGCCCAGTGAATAACTTCTCCACCGACAACGAATCCAGTTCCGACCACTGCCCTTCCGTAGCCAATAACCCCCTTCGCGTCCGCGCGCTTGACTTCCCCCTCGTACGTTTTCCAGACGAAATCGCTTCCTTCCTTGCTCAATGTGTATGGTGTGAGCGCCAATTCGCGGGTCTGCTCATAGAGCTCTTGTGTGGGTTTCTTGGCAGCCGGGACCCTGGCATCGAAGGCGGAGAGCCCAGAATCAGCGAGTGAGTCGAGTTTCACCAGGTATGGTGTGACGTATGGCGCCACAGGGGTGACAAACGGGGTGGCGTAGGGGGTCAGTGTGTCGATTGTGCGGTGGGTGAGGGAGAGGGGGGTGATGGCGTAGGGGTGGGTTGTGATGGTGGTATAGGCGGAGGTGAGGAGGGGGTAGGTTTGGAGGTGCTGTGGGGTGTTAGTTGATGTTTCTGCTGTCTGGGGTTTTGTGTTGGGTGTGATGGGGATTGGGATGGGGATAGACGTACGGAGAGGAATTGGGATTTCGACGCCACGCTCTCAGCGGTGGTGCCGTTGGACTTCTCGTCCATGGTGATGCCGTCGGTGGACATGATTGTGTGTTTGGTGGTGTGCTGATAGCTTGTGTCTTGTCCGTGTGATGAAAGTCGTCTTGTCTATCCGTCACTCGTTCCTCTTGATGAATCTGATAAAATCAAAGAAGTAAGCAACCACCACCAAGCACTGGGGGGCGTAGGTATATATACGCTCCCTCTCCCTTCGCACAAGAAAATTGACAAGATAAGAGGGAGGGAGGCGAATAAATTTGTGGAATGTGATAAGGCATGGTGGCTTGCATGTGAAAGGGACAGGGAAGGTGTGTGAGGTGAGACGGGGTGTGAGGTGGGTGGTGGTACGTACCTTGGCCGAGCTTCGTATGTTTTTGGGATTCTGATGAAATGGATTCTGATGAAATGGATTCTGATGAAATGGATTCTGATGAAATTTAATGGTGGCGGCTTGAGTCTTGAGAGTGGATGTCGTGGTGGTGAGGGGTGGGTTGGATGTGGATTTGATGTGAGATGTGGATTTGATGTGGATTTGATGTGGATTTGATGTGGATTTGATGTGGATGTGGATTTGATGTGGATGTGGGTTTGATGTGGATGTGGGTTTGATGTGGATGTGGATGTGGATCTGATGTGAGATGGTGGATGTGGGTTTTGATGTTGATGTGGAATGGGACGGGACAGACGCCGACGTGGACGTGGACGCGGACGCGGACGGCGTTGAGATGTCTGCAGTCTGCAGGATTGGGAAGACGGGATGATAGAAGAAAGATCGGAGATGGTGGACTCCCGATCCCGATCCTTCCGATGTCCCATGTGTTGTGGTTATATTGCGTGCGTATGTGCGGGAAGGTGGTGATGGTGTGGTGATCTCATCCCGCGATCGATGTCGTCCGCACCCACCACGCACACAAGTTCCTCATTGCTATATGAAGTACTCGAGTAGCTAGGTGGAACTGGATGCAAAGACTTTGCTAGGTGGAACCGGATGCAAATACATTGCTATATGAAGCTGGATGCAAAGACATTGCTATATGAAGCTGGATGCAAAGACATTGCTAGGTGGAACTGGATGCAAAGACATGGCTATATGAAGTAGCTAGGTGGAGGCGACATGGAGAATACCGTGCTGCAGTATGTACATGCACTCGGAGGGATTGTAGTCTGCAGTAGCCTCTCGATGCGGCGATGCCATGCGGTTGTACTGTTTAGTTCTGTGATGTAGGGGATGGGGAGGGTACTAGGAAATAGGTAGAAGTAGAGTCAGGCAGGGAGATGGGCAGGGAGATAGTGAGACGGGCAGATAGGCAGGGAGACAGGAGATAGGCAGGGAGACGGGCAGATAGGCAGGGAGACGAGACAGACAGACAGACAGATAGGCAGGGAGACGAGACAGACAGACAGGCAGCAGCCAGACAGTCAGACAGATAGGCAGGGAGACGAGACAGAGGCAGCAGCCAGACAGTCAGATAGGCAGCAGCCAGACAGATTCGCTGGCATGTGAATGAGCACCCACGCCCTGCCAAATAGGCCAAGGAGGTCTAGACTAGACTGCGACCTACCATACCGTCTAGCATGTGACAGAGCACCACGCTAACCACAGCCACGCGGCTGTGGACACTCACTACGTAATACGCCAATCCGATCGAAAGACGGGCACGGGCCTCGACACCTGTCAGAGACTTCTCCTTCTAACCTCATCTCTCATTCGACCTCATCTCTCATCTCTCATTCACCTCCCCCTCCGTTTCTTCACCGAGCTCACCACCACCACCTCACCTCCCCTCCGTTTCTTCACCGAGCTCACCACCACCACCTCACCTCCCCCTCCGTTTCTTCACCGAGCTCACCACCACCACCTCACCTCCCCCTCCTCCGTTTCTTCACCGTGCTCCCCCTCTCCCAATCCCCCTCATCCCCCCCCCTCTCCCTCCTCCTCCCCCCCTCCCTCTCAACAACCCTAGTAACAACCCTACAAACCCCGTCCCCCATCGCCCTCCTCACTCTTCTCCACCTCTCTACATCCCTCCTCACTCCCTCCTCAAGCGCCCCCTCACCCCCCTCCCACGTCTTCAACCGTCCTTCCACCCCCTCAACCCCCCTCACCCCCCCTCACCCCCTCCCACGTCTTCAACCGTCCTTCCACCCCCTCACCCCCCTCACCCCCTCACCCCCCTCCCACGTCTTCAACCGTCCTTCCACCCCCTCACCCCCCTCACCCCCCTCACCCCCCTCCCACGTCTTCAACCGTCCTTCCACCCCCTCACCCCCCTCACCCCCCTCACCCCCTCCCACGTCTTCAACCGTCCTTCCACCCCCTCACCCCCTCACCCGTCTTCAACCGTCCATACTTATCCCAAATCTCCATCCTTCCCCCTCCCCCAGCTCCAAACACAAAATCCCTCCTCAGACACCCCTCCCATCCCCCAACACATCCTGCACCGCCTTCCCCTCCCCCGCCACCTCCCGAAGCGGTGCGGCGATCAACATACTCCCTCTCTCCCACGAGCCCACAAACCCCTTATCCACTCCTCCCGGCCCGCAAACCATGGGGACCGCAATGACGAAAAATGCCCAGCGCTCGAAGGGGTGGCGGTTATAGCTCCCTGTGGGGTTCGGGATGTCGATTTCGACGAACTGGATTGCAGCCCCGCCTTCTGAGGCGGTGAAGTGGGCGAGGAGTTCGTTTTTCAGCTTCGCGGGCTGGCAATTGGGGGTGCCGCTGCTGCTGCTGCCGCTGCTCCTGTTGCTGTTGCCAAAGGAGCCGCTCACGGCATGGATAGATAAAGAGCAGAGTTCCACAGCCCTAGCATCAGGGCGCGAAAAGTACTCATCATAAATCGCACGTAACGACCTCGCCCTCCCCGCTCGCTCGGCTTGCATACGCTGCATCGACTGCATCGGCGTACCAAATCCGGGGAGAATGGGTCGCTGTTGTGGTACGCGGTTTTTGATATGCACCAACGCCGCTGCTGCCGTCTCCAGAGGCGCCCTGCTCGACCCGGCATCAGTCCCGGTGATGAATTGGAGTGCTTGGTTAGCGCTCAACACGCTTCCCCAGCGATTCTTCATATGCTCCTCCAGCAGCTGGCGCGCGCGCGCTACGTGCACGTCGTCGGCGTTGATGCTGTAATCCTCGCTGTACCGCGGCTCGGGTAGAGGGAGTCGCGGTGCGAGCGGGAGGGGTGATAAGGGGCCGGGAGGGGGGACGAAGTGACGGTATGCGTTGGAGTTTTGGTAGGTCCTGCGCACGCGGGGTGAGGTGAGGGGGGAGGTGTATGCGGGGGCGAGGGGACTTGGTGTTTCTGCGTACTGGGGAGTTTCTTGGGCTGGGAAAGTATGCGTGGTGGTGCATGGGGAGATCAGTTCCTCACTCCCTCCCTGTCCTGATTTTTCCTCCTCGGGGTTTTCAAATCCATTCCACCCAGCCAATGAGGCGGGGAATCTTGAGGTGCCCTTCTGATCAGCCATCAACCTATGCACCACCTCGCTCGCCTCTTTATTCCCAACTTCCCCAACTAACACGCCGCTGAACTCGCTGCCCGCTTCAGACCTTGGGGCTGTCACGGCGGGGGAGGTGGCCTGGAAGAAGAAGGGCGTAAGTGGTGTGTCTTGTGCGTTCCTGTAGCGTGCGCAGGCTTCGGTAGTGGGTGTTGTTAGGTCGAGGGGGGAGATGTGGGGGTGCAGCGGTGAGGGGGGGGTGGAGGGCGTGCCGATGTAGTGGTACCCGTTTTCTTGTCCCTGATGGATGGCGGCGGGGGTGCTTGTGGTGATGGGTGAGGTTGTGGTGAAGTAAGCCACGGGAGTACCGTCCTCGTGGTATGGAGCGAAGGTGGTGGGTGTGAATGGGTTCCCTGTCTCCCAGGTCTGACGGGGGGGTTTGTGGCATGGACGAGTGAAGTGATGCTGCGGGGTTTGTGAGGAGGGCATCGTAAGTGCACTGCTTGGGGGTGCGGTTGCATAGATGGGTGAGAAATCGCCGTAGGTCTCCTCTGACGACGATGGCGAAGAAGTGTGCTGATAGCTCAAATCCCTCTCTTGGAGGCTGAGCTGGTGGGCGTGCAGTTCTGCGTTGAAGAGAGGTATGCCATGCGGGGATGGACTTATATAGGTCCCGCGGCCATGGGGACTTGGGGCAAATGGCGAGGTAGTGGGTGCGCTTGTTGGTGCGGAGCCATGGTATTGGGAAGTGTATGCGGGGTGGTACTGTGATGGGTGGGAGCGATGGGGGTTGTTGGCGGTGTAAGGAGAGGAGGCGCGGTTTTTGGAAGGGGCTGCCATAGTGAAGGCGTGGTGATGTGTCTGAGGAAGGAGCGTCAGTGTCGTCGCGGTGAAGGCCTAAAATTGGAAAGAGCAGAATCCACTTACAATAGAGAAAGAGCGAAGGACTTTTCTTATGAAGAGGCAAGGGCGTCTTTCGTTCTTTCCTTCTTTGGAAGAGTTGTGTTTCTGAGCTGTTCGAAGGTCTCTGTTTATTGTTCTTTTTGATAGATTCGTTGGTCTTCCACGTTTATTTTCGTGGGTTATTGTGTAGGTTATTGTGACGACATAGTGAGTGGTGAATAATTACTCATCTCCATTTCCTTAAAGGGGTTGTGGGTGAGAATCCGGGGGCTGGGCGGTTCGTCACTGGAGGCAACAGGAGGGGTCTGAGGATATAATGTGAATTAAGCGCGACCAGGGCGTCAATTAGGGCAGGGAAATGGAGCGCAAACTGAGTTGTATTTTAACTATATTCTAATGCCTTCATTGTAATGAAATCTTTACAAAGAACGCATTGCTTTCGGAATTTCCTCGTCATAACGGAATGAAAAGAGAACACGTGACGCCCCTTTTTGGGCTCCAACAGTATGATACAACGGCGATTACAAGGTATTAAATGCACGGGGATGAAGATGGTGTTTAAAAGAAATTATATAAAGACATATGGTAGGTCTATAACTTGTTATCCTAATAGACGTCCTATTTATTCGTGCGTGGACTGACTGTCTGGGATAACCAAAACGAAGGTGGCGTCAAACGCAAACACGCGCGTCTCAATGGATTATGGCAGCCACAAATCCCATCCAAAGGAAACCCCAACTCCTGACAACAACCAAAAGCATCAGAGAAAGAGAATGTAAGACGCGAGCGCGACAAGGGAATGAAAAGGCCCAGCAAAAAAGTGGCAGCAACATCAGCAGAAGCAGCGAAACCAAAACCCAAACCCCTCCAAAAAAAAAAAAAGCTTCACGATAAAAATAGAAAGTCTAGCAAAATGGCATCCTCCCCATCATCTCACCCTCCTCCTCTTAGACCTGCTCGAAGTAGACTTCTCCCGTGACGTCCTCTTCATACTCTTCGCGGCCCTAGCCCTCGCCGCCTCCTCCACCCTCAGCTGTTCCCCAGGATCATCACTCTCCTTCTGCTTCTCCTTCTCCAGCCTCTCCGCCTCAAGCCTCTTCTCCTCCTTTTCTTCCCACTCCTTTTCCCTCTGCAAATACATAGCCTTATACACTATCGCCTCAGGGAAGTCGCCGAACGGGTCCAAGCCCCTCCTAACCCTGTCCGCCATGATTTCCTCGTCCTCTATGCCCTCAGGTGAGCGCACTCGTTGCCTTCTCTGCTGCGCCGGCTGGGTAGTAGTGCCATTTGCGGCGGCGGCGGCTTCGGCGGCGGCTTCTTCGGTGGCTTCTTCGGCATCTTGCTTAGCCATAAATGCATTTTCCATCTGCTCCATCTCGACGTCCCACAGTTCCAACTCTTCCAGATTCATGTCGTTGGGATCCATATGCACGGCTATCCATTCGAAGGTGGTGCGGTCGCGGAATCCCAGCTCGTACTCGAGCTGTCTGAATTTCTCAATGTATGTCCTAAGCGCGAGGTGCCGTTCCTGATCCTCGGCGCCAAGCTGCGCAAAGCATCTCTCGCTCATCCTGGGGTCTCCAATATCAAAGTCTGATTCTTGACTCGACTTACTCGATATTTCCGCCGACCATCTGCGGTCTCCCCGCGTGACCTCATCCATCCACTGCGCTTGACGATGGTCCATCTCGATCTGCCATGCCCTCAAGTCCCACAAGTTCATCATGATGGGTTCCGCTCCCTGGCCTCTCCAAAAGCCATCGCCATCGCGGAACCGGAACTTGACCTCGATTTCCAGGTAGTCGTTCAAGTGCTCAATTTGGGCGAGGTGGAGTTTAAGTTCCCACGGTTCGAGCTTCGCTCGGTCTTCAGGACTCATGTCGCGTTTCCCAAACCTCCTGATATCGGTTCTGAGAAATTCTTTGCCATCATTTTCATCGTCTTCTTCACTGCTGTCCGAAGACGATTCATATAGATCTCTCCCTTCTTTAATGCGACGTTCTATTGCCTCCTCGCCTCGCCGCTCCTCTTCCTTATCCCTAAGTACGATCTGCCATATGCGCAAATCGATCAAGGTGATCGTCATGGGATCCTTATCCACGGCTATCCATTCGCCATTGGCATTGCGATAGTTCAACTTAATCTCGATTTCCCTGTTTTCTTTCCTGTGCTGGATACGTGCGTGGTGAAGATCCCTTTCCAAAGGGGTGAGCTTCTGAACCTCTTCATCGCTCATGCGGGGATCTCCAATCTTTGGTGGTTGCCCTTCGTTGGGGCCTGGAGGGGGAGGGGTGCCGTCTCCGGATCCGAATCCATCATCAGTGCCATATACTGAATGCGCTTTTTCGCTGCTGGACGTGCTGCCACTCCCGCTACTCCCGTCATCCCCTTCGCCTTCGACACCGTCACCCCCTCCGCCTTCGACACCGCCACCCCCTCCGCCTTCGACACCGCCACCCCCTCCGTCTTCGACACTGCCACCCTCGTCCGTGGTGTTCCCGCCACCCTCGTCAATTGAGGATTCTTTCTCCTCCTCCTCGTCGCTTGGTTCTCCGTCCTTAACATCCTGCGAAGTAGTTTTATAGTCTTCTGCCGGGTCTGTAAATAGGTACGGCGAATTTGCAGCTACGCTCCACATGTGCAAGGTTCTCCGTGGGATCGTAGGGTGATCTCCCGCAAATCTCCGAAAGAAGCGATAGACCGATTCCGCGTCTTCGGGCCGGCCAGCGAGTCGTAGTGACCGAATAATCCTTGTAATACGACGATGATGGTGGTTACCAGGGTTCGCCAGAGCTTGAAATCTGGCTTCGCGAGCGGCGTGATCTATCTTCTTGGCATCTTCATCATCACTTCCAGCTTCAACGGGCGTGATCCTGCGGATACGTCGTCCACGATTACGATGGCGGGCCGTAGCGCGATCGGCATCACCATAAGGTTTACACAAGCTCACGGGGGTAAGCTCGAGATCAAACATGGCCAGAATCTTTTTCAAGGCCTCCAACATAGTCATGCGAACTTTCTTGCCAACCTTTCCACCTCCACGTATAGTAGCGAGCTGTCCTTTAGTGGCCACCACGTCTCTGTTGGCATGCTGACTGGCCCAGGGTAGAGGGAAAAGGAGCTGGATAAAGTCGTGGCGTCTTTCTAGGTCATCATCACTGTAGTGTAGTACGTTCTGGATCGATACATTCTTCGGCGTCACCATGTTCCCACCGTACCAAGACACGATACTAAAGGGTTTTGGTTTCTTTGGAGGCATGGTTGCGCCTTCACGGAAATTGTTCTTTGAGGGCTACTGGATATAATATCTCTGGAATCAACGAGTGCTGTCTCGAAACCCGTAGCTTAGGTCTCCAATGGATTGGAAGTAACAATATAGGTACAATATAGGATTTGAAAGGAACAAACGGAATGAAAAGGCTCATGAGGGATCCAAAGGTTTAAAAAGGAATATTTCGGCGCCATATTCAATGACAATGGATGCTGGGCTCGCCATTGAGCCACGAAGCATTGCCAAATGCGGCCAAAGAGGAATTGCAGGCGTGATATATACCTCCAGGCCATAATGAATTTCTTTCATGAAGTGAGTTGTGAGAGGTCCTAGGTCAAAGAAATGCCTCCCCGGCAAGCCATAGAAGCTCAGCCGCAAGCATCGTAAATGGAAGCCAATCGACGCTTAGTGCAGGAGAGAAAACCAAACATGATAGCTCTAATACGAAAACATACAAACCACTTATCGACTTCTTTGTTCGTAGAATTCCTCCCTTTCTCACGAACCTTTGTTCTCGGATCTGGATGCGGCACCTCAAACTCCAAGCAGGGACCAACAGTGACGTCCCTCCGCCAAGGCGGTGACCCCTGGCAGAATCGCGGGTCTCGGGCCAAGCAGGAGCCCAGTCTCAGAAATAACACTTTGAAACATACCTACTAGGACAAAACGGACCCGTTTGAATCGTTCCCATTCTGCCACGCTGGACTTAGCCATTTTGGCGAGAAATGGGAGAGCTGCGGAAACTGGATTTCAGCTATGACCCGACAAGGGAAATTACTAGTAAATTGTATGTAATTCTCCCCATCCGGCCATATGAAGAGAGGAACCCCCGTTGGGTCAATCTCCTTAAGTACCCGAAACGGGTCCGACTCGGCTAACCTGCCTTCACCCTCACCACGTGACCGTGACTTGTCCAACTCAGATACCTTCCGTCACTGAGGGAGAGGAACCCCCGTTGGGTCAATCTCCTCAAGTACCCGAAACGGGTCCGCCTCGGCTAACCTGCCTTTACTCTTATCATGTGACCGTAACCTGCCCGACTCAGATCCTTTCCGTCACTGAGGGACAGGCATCCTTACAACTTGAGGATTGGAAAAATGTCATATGGTCAGATGAAACTTCTGTTGTTTTAAACCATAGACGGGAAGGATATCAGATTTGGCGGAAAGTTGAAAACATTTTTACGATCTTGCATTCGAGAATGGTGGAAGGGATACTCTGAGTTCATGTTTTGGGCATGTTTCTCATATGACAAGAAGGGGCCATGTCACTGTTGGATACCAGAAACCAAACGAGAAAGAGAAGAAGCAGAATTAAAAGTTCAAGAGATGAATAAGGAATTAGAGCCAATTATGCGTGAGCAATGGGAAATTACAAATGGGATTCAACGGATGGGACTACAGAATTTACCAGGACCAAAACCACAGTGGAGATGGAATCAAAAAAATGGAAAATTAACTCGAGGGGAGGCGGGATAGACTGGTATCGCTACCAACAGAAGATTCTCCTTCCAAAGTTATTCCCATTCTGTAATGGTGGGTGCACCAGATGTGAGAATCCAGCCACCCAAGGAAGGGGTGATTTTACTAAGACAACACACTGTCTTAGGAAAAAGAGCCAAAGGGTTGTAGCTTAGACTATTTGTCATACTGACATTCGTTGCACTCAGTTTGCTATCAAACTCAAGAGCAAACTTGGAAATCTCCTCCTCAAACCTACAAGTCACTATACATATTTTGGCTTATCACACCAACAACAAGAGCAATACTACTCAACGATTGCTACAACCATCTATGATTCATTACACGTCATCGCTCCTTAGTTACTGGGCCGATATTACCACATAGCATATCTCTACAACCCTCTATGATTCATTACATGACATCACTCATACTACCACATGACATATCTCTACCAACTAGAGGCCTAGGAGCATGAACGATAGCTCTAAAAACTTCACCATCCTGGAAGTGATTTGTGTGGTGTCACCCTCCTATTGGCTGAGCCAATTGCGGGGGCGGGACGATCCGTGCGGGGGGACCCACTTCTGTCAACTGATAGGTCACGTGATCGTCCTCGAGAATCCACGACACGAATATCCTCCCTGGGATTTCCAACGCCCCCTATTGGGGTATCCCTGCGGGGATTGCTGATATCCCTAGCGTCAACAGAGATTTCTCGCTCTGGAGCGGCCTCCATGGGGTCAAATCCCACATCTTCGTGGGACTCCTCGTCGGGATCGAGGAGATCAAGTGTAATGGTGGGTGCACAAGATGTGAGAATCTAGTGTAATGGTGGGTGCACCAGATGTGAGAATCTAGCCACCCAAGGAAGGGATGAATTTACTAAGACAACACACTGTCTTAGGAAAAAGAGCCAAAGGGTCGTAGCTTAGACTATTCCACAATGCAGCAATCAGGTGTGTGATGTAGTGAAGTGGTTCAGACAAGTTGCAACAAATGTTGAGTCTGGGAACTCAGGGGTAAGTGTAACGCTGACTTCTAAATGATAGAAGACACAGAGGTTCTCTTGCGTAAAGGTTTACTTATCAGAGGAGGCAGGGGATCAGACACAAAGGCTTCAAGTAACACGTTACTAGTATATAACAAATACTGTATTGAGTTGAGCACGAAGCTCCTATCTAAGGAAATACTATCTACTTATATAGTGGCGTCGTGCCTAGTGGACTCCTGGGAACTCACTCGAGTCCTCGGAGTCCTGGACTCTTAGGATTCTTCTCATCATCCTGCGAGTCCGTCACGTGCCTAGTGGACTCCTGGGAACTCACTCGAGTCCTCGGAGTCCTGGACTCTTAGGACTCTTCTCATCATCCTGCGAGTCCATCACGTGATACTTTCGGAACTACTATTCCCCGCTGCCCCTCCAGGTACCAGGGCCGGTCTCATGCGACCTCCCTCCTTCCTGTCCTGTAGTTGGCCAGCCTTCTTGTTCCGTCGTAACAGTAAGTCAGAGGTTAACACCTCACTGACTTTTCAGAAACAAGGAGTAACAAGATAAATGCTTGGAAGCTTGGAAAAGACGTGGAAGTATGTGATAGTCGATTTACTGTATTGTCTGCTTGCCCTTTCTTAAGGAAAGGGCAATCCTATTTATGCTAAAGGAGTGTAGCTCTCTCATTTTCCAAGACTTTCCATGACTTACCAGGCTTGGTAACTGTAGTCGACATAAGAGAATCCCATAGAACCATCTCTTAGGTTCGTAGCCTATAGGAAGTAAAAGGAGGTCCAAGGTCAGAGTACCCCTATAGACAAATTATGCCATAGACAAATTATGTCATAACTTAACCAATCTTGTGGGTAACTAAAGAGCGATGACATGTAATGAATCATAGAGGTTCGTAGGAGCTTTTAGAGCTATCGTTCATGCTCCTAGGCCTCTAGTTGGTAGAGATATGTCATGTGGTAGTATGAGTGATGTCATGTAATGAATCATAGAGGGTTGTAGAGATATGCTATGTGGTAATATCGGCCCAGTAACTAAGGAGCGATGACGTGTAATGAATCATAGATGGTTGTAGCAATCGTTGAGTAGTATTGCTCTTGTTGTTGGTGTGATAAGCCAAAATATGTATAGTGACTTGTAGGTTTGAGGAGGAGATTTCCAAGTTTGCTCTTGAGTTTGATAGCAAACTGAGTGCAACGAATGTCAGTATGACATCAAGCCGTTGATCCTCCACGAATCTCACTGACGTCGCGATGATGATCTGGTCTTCGACCGGGTCGTATAACCGGTATTGCTTTGAGGTTGGCATATACCCAACCAGCGCAGTTCGGATCGCGTTGGGGGCGAGCTTGTCGCCGCTCCTTTGCTCAAGTGATAGGTTTGCATATGCGACGCAACCCCAGACCCGAAGATGGGCGACAGACGGTCTCTTTCCGCTATACGCTTCTTCTGGCATCTTGCCTTCAGGCCCAATTGGCAGTCTATTCTGTAGATAGGAAGCTGCCATCGCAGCTTCGGCCCAGAGCCGTCTAGGAAGCTGCGCGCCTGCTAACATTGATCTGATCAAAGCGACCAAAGCCCTGTTTAGTCGCTCAGAAACTCCGTTTTGATACGACGTATATGGGGTCGTATACTCGAATAGAATACCTTGAGAAGGCCCAAGGTCTCGCTCAAGGGCCTCGTATTCGCCGTCGCAGCGTACGATCTTGATCTTCTGGCCGGTTTGGTTCTCTACTTCGGTCTTAAATTCCGTGAAGATCGCTCGTAGTTGACCCCTCGACTTCATAATGTAGACCCAGGTCTTCCGTGTGGAGTCGTCCGTGAACGTCACAAAATAGACGTTCTTACCACCAAGCGATGGCGCTCTGTACGGCCCCCAGATATCGCTGTGTACCCTGTTGAGGGGGGGCTTTTGCATGCTCTGATGCCTGTCGATTGATAACCCGCGTGCTCTTATTGAGCAGGCACTCTTCACACGGGTCCGCGAGTTCACCAATTGGTCCTGGCAGACCGTCGACAGTGGTGTGAGCCAGGCTCAGACTCTTTGAGCTCAAGTGTCTGAAGCGTTGATGCCAGATCATGGCATCCTTTGGTGACATCGCCACTGCGCGCAGCGCAGTGACGGCGCCTTCCTAGGTGCCGTCGAGGATGTAAGAACGTCCAGACCGGACAGCAACGCCGATAACCTGACCCTTGAGCTCAAGGATCATCTTGCCGTCGTGGGTCGTCCTTGTCATATCCCCCTATCTTGAAGATGGGAGACCGAGACGAGGCTTCCGGCGAGCTGCGGCACATGCAACACTTCGTGAAGCTCAATGCGGCGTTTGACGCCTTTGACAGCTATATCGAGGCTAACAGTACCTTCGGTGACAGCTTGGATCTCTGTCCCGTTAGCCAATCTCACAGCGATTGGCGTACCCAAGGGCTTATAGTTGACGAACCCCCCCCTTGCGAATTGTTGTTTTTGAGAAGCTTCTCTCACGCTTCTCTCACTTTCGCTGGCTTTGTTCAGTGGTGAGCTGTGACAGGTCTTTGGTCTTTGTCTGCTTGGAGATTTCTGGAAGAGCCTGGAACAATACAATCATGCATATAACAGTAGCTCTTCTCCTGAAATACGATAGTTAGACCATCCAGAAAACACATTCTTTGCAACTCGAATGTCATATGGCGAGAGCAGCCTGAATCCATGATCCAGGAGTCGCCCTCATCATTTGCCTCGCCGACCCAGTTCGAATCGACTCCGCCTTGGTCAACGGCAACCCAGGACGTCTCTGTTGTAGGAGCGATCGTGGTACCTGCGACGTTCGCTTCCTCAGGTGGGGGTGATAACCCCTTTCCACCACCCGGAACAGCGAGCGGTCCTGTTGACGGTCAGGCTGTCTTTGGATCGCCTCTCTTTTTTGAGTAGCAATCTTTCTGAAGATGGCCGGTCTTCCCGCAGTGATAACACGTACGGGTGTCCTTTTGCGTAGATCCACCGCCCCTGCCGCCGCCCCTGCCTCAGCCCCGTCCGCCCCCTCTTCCTCTCGTATTTCTGGTATCCGTAGAGGCTTGTCGGGCGGTTTCGTGGACAGCTTTGGACCTCTTGATCTGTTCTTCGATATCGGCGAAGTGCTCGATTATATCGTCGTAATCCGAGACCTTTGCCGCCTTAATCTGGGCGGCTGCGATGTCGTATTTTCCTCCGCGATTTATCATAATCGTGGTAAGGCGGCCGGTCTTAGATAGATCTGACGGCCGCTCATCGAGGTTGATCTGCGCGATCTCGTCTTGGAAGTCGTCAAGGGCTGTAGCTATATCGCTCACCGAAGCCGTCGCTGAGGGTGAGTAGGCGTTGAAGGCTTCCTTCTTCGCGGCGAGCTGCTCTCGGGCGTATATTCTGTGGAGGTAGTCCCACATCTCTTTTGCCGTCTCGAATCTGATGATCTTGTCGACAACGCTTTGTACGCTGCTCTCCATGATAATGGTGCAAGCCCGGACGTTCCTCCGATCAATTATCTGGTCTCTTCGGGCTTGAGCAAGCTCCTTCGACTCGTCTCTTGCGGGGGGTTCGACATCGTCGTCCAGCTTGTATTCTGGATCGATGGCACTCCAGACTTTCCGATCCTTGAGGATAAGTCGAAGCTGCTTGCTCCAGTTCCGGAAGTTTGGGCCCGATAGCTTCGTGATCCGGGGGCGCTCAGCGATCTCCATATTCGATGGAGTTATCACTTTTCCAAGGCTTATAACGCCGGGTTACTGCAGCCAAACCGGTGGCTTCTTGCGCAGGCTTTTTGGCTGGGCTTTTCCGCGGAGTAGCTCAGACTCTCACTTTATCGATGTGAGACTTCGGAATCAATTCTTGGTTCAATAAACGAAGCTTCTGAGCGACTCCGTGCTCATAAGCTGTTGGAGGTAATTGCGGAATACGGGGAACTACACACAAATTTGTGTGGTAATCTCCGACTACCGTAATCAATCCTTCGGGCAACGGAGCAGAAACTTCACAGTAGAATACAGCAAATATAGTATATAGATCAATTGAATTACTACACTATCAACGGAGCCTACGTATTATTTATGTTATTCGGAGGACCTACCCAAACGCCCTAAGTAGCAGAAGGGTTTGGGCTCAAAACCCAATGCGTCGGGGTTCTGAGGCAAGCGGCTCACGTCAAGCACCAATTGGGGAGCCCGACGGTAACACTGGGAAAAGCCGTCATTTTAGGGCCAAAATGCCACCGTATCCCACGGTGCCCGTCCTCTTTTCCCAACAGTAAGTAAGGAGCCCATTGTAATTGAGAGAGGAAGTAGTAATTGAGAGAGGAAGTAGTAATTGAATTTCTACTGCTATATCTACTACTACAATGATTTACAGAGTACTTATATCTCTCCAATTGAGGGATAGATGACGTGGCATCCCTAGGTCGTGGTTGTGAGGTCCGGCGCTCGGAGGAGCTCCCATTTCTCGCCAAAATGGCCAAGTCCAGCATGGCAGAATGGGAACGATTCAAACGGGTCCGGACAAAACCACCGAGTAAGCGCCGCCAACCTTCTCATCCCATCTTTCCTACGAAAATAATTTCTTCTATTATGCTCTCTTCCCACTTCTAGAAATATTCTCATCTGCTGGCACATAGAAATTTTCTCTCCCATTCACGACCGTCCTTCTCAATCTCTCTACTCCATCTATCTCAATTCACCGCGCAGCTTCCACCATCACCAACAATGGCGATCCACGCCCACCCCTCCCCCCCCTCCGACTCCTGGGCCTCCCCCCTCTCAATCGACCTCCTCCTCAAAGTCGCCAACGTAACCTTCCTCCACCCCTTCGTCGCCTGGATTATCCCCCTCTGCCTGCGCGCCCAAGTCTACCCATGGAGCAGTCCCGTCATGCAATCCGCGATCCTGTACGCCTCCCTCCTATCACTCTTCTTCTTCCTCGGCATCCTCAACCGACAAATCGCGTACTCGAAGCCGCGCGTCGTCGATCTGGGCGAGGAGGTTATTGTGATTACGGGGGGGGCGAGTGGCTTGGGGTTGCTGGTCGCGGAGGTGTATGGGATGAGGGGGGCGACGGTGGCGGTGCTGGATGTGGTGGAGTTGGAGGCGGGGGAGGCGAGGGGGGTGACGGTTTATAAGTGTGATGTTGGGGATGCGAAGCAGGTCGCGAAGGTAGCGGCGCAGATTGAGCGAGAGGTAAGCTCCCTTCCCAAACCCCCCCAACGATTGCCAGCTAACCAGTCCAGCTCGGCCCACCAACAATCCTCATCAACAACGCCGGCGTCGTAAACGGCGGCACCCTCCTCGACACAAGCATAGACCGCATCCAACACAGCATCTCCGTCAACCTCCTCGCCCACTTCTACACCCTCAAAGCCTTCCTCCCCGGCATGATCCGCACCGGCCACGGCACCATCGTCACCATCTCCAGCGTGCTGGGCACCACCGGCGCCGCGCGTCTCACCGACTACTCTGCCTCCAAAGCCGGGGTAACCGCTCTGCACACCTCTCTCACCGCCGAACTCAAGCAGTATCCCGATATCAAAACGGTCTTAGTGACGCCAGGACAGCTGAGCACGCCGCTGTTCGCGGGGGTGCAGACGCCGAGCGGGTTCTGGGCGCCGGTCGTGGAGCCAGTGGAGGTGGCGAAGGAGATTGTGAGGGTGCTGGATGGGGGGGGGAGTGAGGTGTTGGCGATGCCGGTGTATGCGAGGTGGGTGGGGTGGGTGAATGTGTTGCCGGTGGGGGTGCAGAGGGTGGTGAGGTGGGCGAGTGGGGTGGATGTGGGGATGGGGGGGTTTGTGGGGAGGGAGGGGAAGGGGGAGTAATATAATTGAGGGCTTGGTGTGGCGCTGGCGCTGCATCATATTTAATATTATATATGATATAAAGACCTGGATTAAATCGCTGGGGATATTTTTTATGTGATTTAATGAATTGGGTTTTATTTCCGAATAGCTCCATCGCAACGTGCGTGTGTTCACCGCCACTCCTTAATAAAACTTCTACCATAGCTACACATACTATTTTATATAGTAAATCTATGCAATTCATTTAATGGAAGGGACTCCTCTATCAAATGCCTGTAAATGGCTAGCAGAGAACCCCTCTGTAACAGCAACTACTGCTAGTCGGATTTTTAAGGTTCCTACATCAACTATACGCTCAAGCAGCCGCCACCAACTAGCCCAACCACTACCCCGAGGGGGTAAGAATAAGATGCTCTCTGCTGCCCAGACAGAAGCTATTAAGAAGTGGATTCTAGAGCAATATTACCTAGGGCTCGGAGCTACGAGAGCTATGATATTTACTGCTGTCTGTGGAGCCCGTAGCCACCACCCTCACCAAGCTGGCTTACAAAATATATACGGAATGAGCTTCAAGACTTCTACTTTATTACTACGAAGCCAATTGCACAGCTACGTACGAAAGCTTAAGATGGGTCTAGTATTATAAATTGGTTTCGAGACTACCTTAAGTTTATACTACGGTGTAGTATAAAGCCAGAGTCAATCTGGAATATGGATGAAACTGGGTTTAGAATTGGAATTCCAGGAGGTAAGAAGGTTATTGTGCCACGAACAGCAAAGGAGCTCTATACTCCAAGCCCTGAAAACCGTATGTCTATTACTATCCTTGAGGCTGTGTCTGCAGTAGGAAAAGTCATACCACTAGTACTTATCATTCCGGGCAAAATACATATGGATTCTTAGTACCACGCTAACCTTGAAGGCACAGAGCTAGTACTACTCTCCGACTCTGGGTTTTCAAAAGCTAGCTTGCTCTTCGGTAGCTAGAGCATTTTGCTAAGCATACACCCTTGGAGGATACAACCCTATTACTCGACTCTTATGTAAGCCATACAAGCCATGACTTTGTCATTGCAGCAGAAGAACACAACATTATTATATACACCTTTCCCTCACATCTTACACACGTTTTACAGCCATTAGACGTAGGAGTGTTCCAGCCTTATAAGCACTAGCATCCAGTAACTGTGCTTACTGCCATACGGGATATGGACATTACCTATGACCTACAATCCTTCATGAGAGATCTCACACACATTAGGGAGCAGACTTTTAAGGAGTCTACTATAATATCAGCTTTCTAGAAAGCTAGTATTTGGTCTATAAGCTGTAATACAGCCCTCACGAAACTACGCACCTACTAACAGCCTACGCCTACACCTACGCCTACGCCTACGCCTACTACCTGTAATGGTGGGTGCACCAGATGTGAGAATCTAGCCACCCAAGGAAGGGATGATTTTACTAAGACAACACACTGTCTTAGGAAACAGAGCCAAAGGGTTGTAGCTTAGACTATTCCACAACGCAGCCATCAGGTGTGTGATGTAGTGAAGTGGTTCAGACAAGTTGCAACAAATGTTGAGTCTGGGAACTCAGGGGTAAGTCAGAGGTTAACACCTCACTGACTTTTCAGAAACAAGGAGTAACAAGATGAATGCTTGGAAGCTTGTAAAAGACGTGGAAGTATGTGATAGTCGATTTACTGTATTGCCTGCTTGCCCTTTCTTAAGGAAAGGGCAATCCTATTTATGCCAAAGGAGTGTAGTTCTCTCATTTCCATGACTTTCCATGACTAACCAGGCTTGGTAAATGTATTAGAAATCAAGTGCAACCCACAACTAGCTTGCTAATCATGTAGTGAACGTAAGAGAATCCCATAGAACCATCTCTTGGGTTCCTAGCCTATAGGAAGTGAAAAGGAGGTCCAAGGTCAGAGTACCTATAGATAAATTATGTCATAACTTAACCAATCTTATGGGTAACTAAGGAGCGATGACGTGTAATGAATCATAGAGGGTTGTAGAAGCTTCTAGAGCTATCGTTCATGTTCCTAGGCCTCTAGTTGGTAGAGATATGCCATGTGGTAGTATTGGCCCACCCCCTTAAGGAGGAGATTTTCTTAATAACTTGTTCAATGAGTGTCCAAATGATATGCTGTGATGTATGTAGCATAAACAGATGTAGTAGAAGAGTTTGCAGCAATCGTTGAGTAGTATTGCTTCTGTTGTTGGTGTGATAAGCCAAGATATGTATGGTGACTTGTAGGTTTGAGGAGGAGATTTCTAAGTTTGCTCTTGAGTTTGATAGCAAACTGAGTGCAACGAATGTCAGTATGACACTACCCTACTAATCTGGTGTCATGACACTCCTTCGATATTTGTGTCATGACCCTTCGATTTGCTTTAGTCTCTAGTACTTATTTTACTATGTCATTCGCTTCACTTGCTGACCTAGATCAGCCCTTAATGACTAGTGGCTTAGGCTCTCTTGTTATTGGCTCACTTCACTAGGGCTCGCTTAGCTAGGGTTCGGTTAATTAGTGCCTTCGCTTATTTGGCACTAGGGATTTTTACTGTTATATAAGCACTTATTGCTCATGTCTCTTATTGATCTTTAGCTAGCAAATTATACACTACTTGGCCTTCTTGCAATTCCTCCTGCTTCGACTTACTTTGCATTCCCTTACTTCGAGTCGAACCACTTGGCCAACCTGTTAGTCTCACCACTTGACCCCTGTGGTATAAAGTATATGCTTTGGAGCCTGAACTACTATACCTTGTCCTACTGCTTCGAGTATCGAAGTCTTCATATTATACTTCGGATACTTCTGCAGACTCGAAGGTCAGCCTCGGTTCGAACTGTCCTTACATCCGGGTTTCTACCCCAAAACCCTCAACTTTATAGGAGGTAGAAGAGGGGCTATAGCACTAGAAAAACCAGGTTCTGGAGGGCTTTAGTAGCCCCTCAAAAGAGAGCTATAGGAACTGGCTTACTGGAACAGAAGAGGTTGTAGCCTTAGGCCAGCTTATAGAGCTTGACCTACATACTACTCAGCAGCAGGTTGAGGAGTGGAAGAAGCAGGCAAGCTGAAGCCAGGCCCGTCTTAGTTTGGAGGTGAGCTCTAAGCTGCTCACGCTCATGAGCTTTGGGACTAGAAAGCTGAGCTTTAGGCTGAGAAGCCCGTAGCTAAAGAAGCCTAGGTAGCCCGCTAGGTCTTAAACCAGGCCCAGAAACAGCTTTATAGGGCAGGAATTGAGGCCTAGAAGGAAGAGCATGCCTGAAAGAAGATGATTGCCCAGCTCTATGTAAAGGTGGGTGCACCAGATGTGAGAATCTAGCCACCCAAGGAAAGGGATGATTTTACTAAGACAACACACTGTCTTAGGAAACAGAGCCAAAGGGTTGTAGCTTAGACTATTCCACAATGCAGCAATCAAGTGTATGATGTATGTAAGGACACAGGGCACCCAGCTCACAGTAATAGCATATGAGAGTGCGAGTCGGAGGCTAAACGGATGCTATCCTATAGGTCTACTACGAAGGATACAAAAAAGATGAAGGGGGAACCCCGTTGAGTCTGTTTCCTTAAGTACCCGAAATGGGCCCGACTCGGTTATCCCAACCCTAGCCCTGAACCTTCCACCACAACAGGTCTGCATCGGCCCTGAACCCTATACACTTACCGTCCCCCACTATAGTGTAACTCGCTATATGCTCCTCTACTGGTTCGAAACCCCACCGAGTCGGATTCCATGCTTGTAGTGACTGTAACATCTGAGACAGGTTCTTCGAGTATCTAGGTACGGAGGCATCCTTACAGTCGGGGTGTTCTTGTGAAAGGACACCAGCTACGACTCCATCGGAGGAGTCTGTTTCCAGCTTCGTAGGCAATTCGGGGTTGAAGTGGTGAAGTGCCTGTACGGTTAGGAGTTGTCGCTGCAACTCTTCGAAAGCAGCCTCGCATTCAGCTGTCCACAGGAACGGCTCCGAAGGACTAGTGATAGTAGTGAGGGGCTTGGCTATCTTGCCGAAATCCCGAATGAATTGTCGGTAGAACCCACAGAATCCTAGGTAGGATTTCACACCCGTAAACATGGTCGGTCGCATCCAGTTACGAAGTGGTTCGATTTTGTCAGGGTCCGCTTCAACACCGGAAGTAGTCAGGATGTATCCTAAGTACTTGGTCCTAGTAACATTAAACTCGCATTTTTGTATATCTGCCTGGAGTCCAGCTTCTCGTAGACACTGTAGGACCTTATGCACATGCTCTATGTGTTCCGTAGGGTCCTCTGAATAGATGAGGATGTCGTCTAAGTATGCGGTACAGAAATCGTCTAAATATTGCATCAGGACGTCATTCATATACCGCTGATAGGTTGCGGGACCGTTTGTCAGGCCAAACGGCAACACTTTGCATTTGTAGGTTCCATAGCGAGTCCATTCATGAAAAGGAATTGGACGAGGATGCAGAAACACTTCACCTCATCCAACAGAAACTCCCGCATATGCACCGAAGCTACGCCGATGTCTTTTCGAAGTCAGAATCAGATCGGATCCCTCCACACTGCATATAAGATACAGCTCGAAGCTCCTTTACCAAACGCCTTCTCCCTGCTATACCGACAAGGCACCGAAGAGCTTAAGGCTACCAAGCAATACCTGCTGGAAAACCTGGAAAAGGGATTCATCATCAACAGCAACAGCCCCTTCGCGTCCCCTATCCTATTCGTAAAGAAAGCGGATGGCAAATTAAGATTTTGCATCGATTACTGGAAGTTAAATGGTCTCACCCGGAACGACCCCTACCCCATCCCGCGTATCGACAAACTACTAGGATGGGTGTCGTCACGAAGCTAGATATTAGACAAGCCTTCCATCATATACGAATGCACCCCGACTCAGAAGAGTACACTCTGATCGATTTCGTAGATGCTAGTTTGAAAGAACTCGGAGTCGCTTCGCATCATCTCGTGGTGGAAAGCATTTGCACTGATTTCGCAGATATGCATGGGCGT